TTCCAGCCCCATAAATGCCACCCCAGTTTTTGTTATGTAATTTCAATAAGAAAAATATATTATAAATAACAAATGGTTAAAAACAATAAAGGAGAATGTAAAGAAAAAAACAATTTTATAAAATGTAAAATCTTTGCAGCAGAGTTTAGCATACTTAAGATGTTGGCGGAGGTGTAGGGCTGATGAGATAAGCAGAACAATTTTTAACTCTCTATGCTGTTAATGCTCAGTCTTTCTGTCACTTTAATTCACTTACACTCTAAATCACTTAATAAATACTACACTTTGTACCTAAACTTAATGTAACTTACTAAAATTCATTGAAAATAGTTGAACTTAACAATAAGATCCTACTTTCACTTATTCCTTCGCTTTCCTCACATTCACACACAGGCCATAAAAAGAAAACATGTTATGGTTTGTTTTATCCTCCTTTTCAGAATTTTTAGGAAATGAGTTAGACAAGTGTCAATAAATAGCTGTGTGCACAATCAGTTGCAACTTTAAAAAAAAAAAAAAATCCTCTTGACTGCTATAATCTAAAAAATCCTGTATGTTGGGGCACTGGTATGTCAAGGTAACACTGTATATTGAGTATAGTATTGTATAGGTGTACTGAATATAATGTCAGAAAAATGTCAACTTACTTTGAATTTTCACACATAAATGCCAACCCACAGTAGTAGAAACAGAACACCAAAACCCATGAAAATAGAGGCCACAAAAGAAACAACCAATTCCTTTTTAAGATCTCTGGCAAATTTGGTGCTTGTTACTTCATAACTGAATTCAATTAAGGAAATTATTGTGCCAGTTCAACTTTTCATAAACTGTGTGTACTAAACATAAAGACAACCTCTAAATTACGAGTAGGCTAAGTATTAAACTAAGTTCTAAAATTTATTCAATTAAAAAAGGCTAGGACATATTATCAAGAAGGTATGAATAGTAGCAGAATTAATATTCCACCTAATTTGCAAATAAGGCCAACCAGAGTATCTTTCACTAGCGTGTGTGGTAAATCATTCTTTTTAGGTCTACTATTTTTTAATATAAAATGTTTTCAAACATTGGTACTGTAGGCCTACATCTACTAGGCTAAAATTAGAAAGTTTTACAACCTTACTTATTGAAGTTATTGATAACCACCAAACTAAAATTTAAAATACCTGCTACCCTCCTCTACTCAAATACATCCCTAGCACTACTGACAACATTCACTTAGTATGTTTAATGTTAAAATTTCAGTGACTCTAAGATTACTTATCTTAGGCCTATATGGAGTTCCACACTGGTCAACAGTAAACTCTAAAAAATTATTATCAGGCTGTGCCAGACTAAGTCACTGTCAGTTATTTTCTAAATAAGGTAAGGATACACAAAAAACCATGCCATGAAGAAGATGCCAATGCCCAATAAAACCACCGTCAAGTGGGGAAAAACTGCTGGATTAATTGGTGAAACATAACGGCTCATAACTTCAACGTCCAACTGTTGGAATAAAAAATAATAGAAGTTCATACAAATTATAACAATACCAGTGATATTAACAACAGGAATTTTCAAAATATTGCTACAATACAATGTAGCTGCTTTTTCCCTTTTTAGAATATATCAGAAAAACACCTTGATACAATCTGTAGTTATCCTAGCAACCCAAAACGACCAAATTATTTAAATTAACTCATCGCTTACACTTGCAACTACAATAAGTTAATAGTTAACTTTATCTGGAAACATTTTTTTTCAACGGGACATGTATATTTTACATTCACACTCACAGAACATATTATATTTTAGAAAAACAAACACATCACTCAATCTAGAATGCGTGTTGTGCAATTTAATGAAAGTAACAAAAGTTCATGCAGGATAATTACAAGAAACAGAAATGCAAGTTTCAAGTACACACAATTTTAAAGGAAAATAAAGTCAGCAACTGAGATATATTATGTTATGTATAACAGCACAAGTCTGGAACATAACCTTCATGTAAATTTCCCTGAGGTCGCAACCTTCCTGCCACTACAGGGACTACATCATTTTATTGCACTTTAAAATATTTTCTAAAGCCCAATGATAATAACAAAGGTGAGGTATTTTAAAAATCTTTTTCCAGGTTTGAAATAATGTTCATTCAACTATAGCTAATAGCCAAGCCAAAATAATTAAGGTTCAAGTATAATAAGTATAAGCTAAATTTGCTGTGTGTCCTACATGTTCAAAATTCATTGTATTTGCATCTTAAATGTCATCTGATTAATAGTTACCAGCAAAACGAGGTAAATAAACAGATAACTGACCAGACCATGACAAAAAATTAGAAAACATTTTTGGCAAGACTCGATACTTTTTTTTTAGTGCTTATGACAATTTAGCTGATATTTTTAATAAAAAAAGTTTCTGTTATTCCAAAACAACTCCTGAGTCATTTTTAATTTCTATTTCCTAAATAAACTGTTTTTAAATTTCACACTTTAAAAAAAAAAGGATATGAAAATACTATTTACAAACATTAAACCAATTTATTTTTTTAAATTAAAAAAAAAAATGCTGGTTGAATGAAAAGCGCATTGTTTTCACCCTGCCTTAGGGGAAATAAAATAGTTTTGATACCAAGGCCGGTAAATGGTTAAATGCATGCTGTCTACCTAATCGTGATTGTATTGTTAGTAATTTAATTTGTATATCTATATATATAATTCTCTTCTGGGATCAGTTAGAAAACAAGCTGCAAGCGCGCCTTTGCAGTCCCCTCTCTTCCTCTCTATCAGTATAACTACCACCCCCACCCCACATGATCTGGTGAGCGGTGTTCACTCTGTTTACATTTACAATCACAGAGACGGGTTTGGTGACGGCTATTAGGGGCAGATAATTTAGTTTGAAACGATTTTAAACTTAGAGGAGGTAACTAAGAGGAGGCTGCTTTCACGTTGGGGGGGGGGGGGGGGTAGTGTTTTTAAGCAAATATTTTCAATGGCAGCATTGGTACTGTCGAATTCACAAATTATAAATTACTGAAAAGTAGAAAAAAAAAACAACTAAATGGCGTATGATACGCAGCGGGTCGGCTCGTATAATATAAATATGATAAAATAAACCTCGCGTATCTAGGCCTATCTGGAAGGCCAAATATGATAGATACAGGTAACTCAAGACAGGAAATCCAGGTAGGCTTTAAGTTTACAAACACATTTTGTTTGTGTAATTTCTTTCATTTAAAACTGAACAGCTGGCATATAAGTGAACTGAAGTTATCAGATCAATGTTTTTATGTGTGTATTGTGCACGAATTATGATTTTTAGCACATAACTATAAATAAGGGTAAGTAGAACTTGAATACTTAAAATATCAGTTAGCACATAGCTAGTGTATAGCAACAAACAGGTAACCTAGGTCTGATTCTAGTCTAGTCTGTCAAAATTAGATTTCAGGAAAAACATACTTGGCAAAATTTTACTTCAAACAAAACTAGAGTTGAAAAAATGAAAGATATGTATATTAAAATATGTTTAAAATAACAATTAGGAGATAAGTTAGTACATTACATGAGAATACTGTTGTTAGTGTATCAAAACTAAAAGCCGGCAGATCAGGATGAAGAAATATAACAATGGCGTCAACGCGATCTACATACGGTGACTACTTTCAAATGAGTATTTACTAATGGCAAAATATCCAAAAACAAATATTTCTATAAAAATGAGATGTATCTGCTTGTATCTAAGAGGAAACTTTACAAAAATAGAGTTTTTAACGCATTTGAAACTAAACTTTATACAGAGGTAAGACCCAAGCAGAGACAGCATTCAATCAGATCGCAAAACCATCAGAACAACGGAAAAACAACTCTTCTTTTTATTTAGCATTGGGAAATGACCTTTTAAACTTAATTAGGCCTAGGCCTAATTATTAAATTAATAATTACCATAGATTAAAAACTCAGTTTCAAAACCTAATCTCGTGCGCTCTGTATAAAAAAGTAATGGGAGATTTCAGGTCATGTTTTTACCGCTAACTGGGACGATGCCGACAACCCTAAAAATATGGGTTATGGAATGATGTGTCATATTCTATAGCTGTGAGTGACAATAAAAATAGGCCTAGGCCTATATATTAAATTAAGTAATTTAGTTTAAAATGAACTAAAAACCTCAAAATTAGTGCCTAATTTATTAAATATGGACGTCTATTATTCAGTGATCATGTTTAAATTGAAAATTGAGTAGGCTAGGCTCTAAATTTTAGATTTAGTCTTTAGTGTGAGAAAATCTAATAAAATCATCAGAAACTGAGAGGCCTATTGAATCGTATTGCTGGAAAAGTAATTTAAGTACTGGAATGGGTCGAGATCTAATCAAGATAATCTATATCTAATTTAGATTTTAAAATCGGCTTTTATACTAGATCTAGTCTAGTTAAAAATAATAAAAAATTATTTTATTTGGACTCTTGTGTAGTACAACACTACAACCGGAAGTTGAATTCGAATAGGCTGGAGCGAGACGTGGCACCATTATAATTACACTTAGATCTAGAAAATATCTGCTTATTTTAAGTCAAGAGCGAATAATTAAACTTAAGCATATTATTCCGAAGCAAATGATGAGAACAATAAACACATCAGGTTAATAAAAATGAGAAAGCTAGTTTAAACATCGACCATACCATGGTGACTTTTGGCTACGATTGCAGTCGTCGTAAAAAGGGAGATAACTTAAAATCTAGACCTATGTTTACACCGAAGCATGAGCATGCGCAAACGATAAAATGAAGTGAACCTTCTTGGCTACATTGTTCTCATTATGCATGCATTACATTTTTTGTAATTAAATGAATATACATCATTACTGTTATAAAATTTATTAATTAGTAATTATGTTGATGATATCTGAAATATATTTCAGAAATGCCTTTTAAATAATATTTTTAGAAACATTTCTGGTTTCAATTATTGTTGATTTATGAATGATCCCCCCTGCGAAAATGCATTTCCTGGATTCTTAAAGCGTCGTAGGTGATCAATGAAAGTAATTCACTGCAACTTAATTAAATATTAATAAACAAGGCGGGCAAAGAAAGTAAAGAATCCTCTCCTTTTATGGCCTTATAATTTCATAACAATATGGATAGATGAAATGTGTTTAAATCTAGTTAAATCTAGTAGACCCTTTATTTTATTTGCGTGCTTATTAATTTTTATAGTATAAGACAGTATAATAAGTGAATAGGCCTAACACTAAGACTAAGTATTTTTATTCTATATTTTAGTATTTTATACTTTTTTTAGTTGTTAATAAATACTAGTAATAACTTAATAAGTAATATTAGTTATTTAAGTAATTAGTATTAATTAGAGTAGTGAGTAGACTTAAGACAAATAACTGGAAAGTATAAGTAGTAAGTAGTAGTGTAGTAGGGCCTAAACTAAGTATTACTAAGTAAAGTTAAAGTACTTAAAGTAGTGCAGGCTTAAAAATAATCTCATTTTTATTAATTTATTTTAAAAAAATAAAAAGGTTAGTTAGTATTAAGAGAAGTTTCAAGTTATAGTTAAATCACAGCTAAATTTAATAAAGATAATGTCAACAGTACAGATTTGTTGTACTTTACTGCTGTGTTTAATAAAAATAGTAATTATTATTTAAGACCTAGGCCCATACTATTACATAATTAAGCCCTAGCTACTAGCTAGGCCTACATCAATAAGTTTCATATTATACCAAAACTGAGATATTATGATCATTATTTCCAATCACAATACATCTTAAGTAACCCTGGGTCAAGTTACTTTACTAGCCATAAATTGACTTTAATGTAACCTATTTTATTAGAAACAAAAAACAGAAACATAGAAAATCTTATTTCTATCAAGTCAGGATATTTGCAGTGTGTCACACAGCTGCTTTTCTTTGGTCTATGTTGATTTCAAAAGGCTAATGCTGATTATTTTTAATCAAAATGAATGAATCACTTATTTCAGAGGCGTAGCGACCCTTCCCAAACTTATGATTTGCACCCCCCTCAAACGTTCGATTTGTACCCCCCCCCCCCCCCTCAAACTTTCAATTTGGCGCCCCCCTAAGGTCGGCGCCCGGGACATATGTCCCCCCCCCCCCCTTCTCGCTACGCCTCTGACTTATTTATATTCAATAGAAATAATCTCCCCATAATAATCCAATAAACCAGGGGTTGGACTTATGGTAAGCTCATGTAGTCATCAGTGGTTAGGGCTAAAGTTTTACTTGGAGTTTAGTTAGTTTGCAGGAAATCATCGTCATGAATTATTAATTTAAAAATAAAAATGAGTTATAATAAGTCATTAAAATAAAATGTCATCAATTAATACCTTTTTATTTTTCAGATTTAAAATGATTTAAAAGCAACACGTACATGAAAATGGCAATTTATAACTAAGTGCATGATGTCAGTTAATATGTTGAGTTCTCTTTCTCGAGGATATGGACCATGGAATGGATCATTCAATACCTTACCTAATGTAAGTATATAAAATATTAATTACTGTCAAGGATCATACACATATTATTGTTTTACAAGAGGAAGATAGTGTAAATATATGGAGGCCTATATCTGTCTGTCTGTCCGTCTGTTTGTCTGTGTATTAATCTATGAGGCACCCTTCAATTAGGCTCCATTTGATGTAAAAAAATTAATTGCTCTGTATCTCCTATAATGATTACCATGATATTCTCAGCAGGACATTCTTCCAAGTCTAGATCAAAATTCCTGCCAGCATAGACACGGTGTTACGCCACGACCCAGCACAAGTGCTACACTCTCTACTGTGTCAGTTGCTAACGATGGTCACCTAGATTTACCTAAAACTTACCTTACCCGCAAGGGAGCCTTAATGCTGTTCACATCCAATGAAGATATACCACTTGAACCCCCACCAGTACCCACACTCAAGAGAAAACGGCACAAAAACAGGGATTTAATTGACCTTAGTTTAAAACTTAGGACATTAGAAAGACTTTCTATGTCAGTTCTGCAGTTTGGAGATAAGGTATGTATAGTAGTTCATTAACATAGTTAGTAATGCAGCTAGAGTGTGCTGCCTAACATTAATTTACATTGTCACAATAATTTTTCTTTGGTGTTTTTTTTTTGTTTTTCTTTATATAGTACTCAAAATTACAGTTTATGTTTGTTGTATAATTTGACACAAGCACCTACATCATAAAATAATTTTGAAACATTATTTGTATAATTTTCATTTCTTACATAACATAATTACAAATTATATTCAGTTTTTCAAGAATACTGATAACGCATAAAAATAATTCAGATCCACGTGAAATGATAAGACCCCATTATGTTTTATTTCAGTCGTATGATAAGGAAACTGCAAGCATCTCTGATCAAAATACGAGCTTATTTTTTAACTTCCTTCATGACTTGAGCCAAGAAAATGAATTCAATGATGCACACTCTCAACCTGGAGAAGAATTAAAGTTTTACTTGAAAGACCTCAAGCGCAGAGCTAGGTAATATTCTTCTTTGGATTCTTCAGTTTTTTATTCAGAGCTAGATAATTTTCTTTTCTAGATTCTTCAAATGTTTTTTCAGAGCTGGGTAATATTCATCTCCCAAATTCTTCAAAGTTTTTTTATGCAGAGTTAAGGTTTATTCTTATTTGAATTATTTAAAGATCTTTACTGTAAAATACATTTGTATTTACACAAATGATTCTAAAGATTATTTGTGTGGGTGAAATCTTAGAGTTAAGGATTGCATTAACTTGATTTTACCTCTGCTTCATTTTAGTTACAGAGGATATGGAGGTCAAGATGGGTCATTCCATCGGGCCAGGTCTGCAGAGCTACAGGAAATATTAGATGAGTTGGAAAAAGTCTGGCCACATTCCACTAACGTACACAGGGGTGATGTTACTAGCATCGATGGGGATGACTTTTTCTTTGCAACCCCCACTCCCAGCACTAGCAGGTACAACAGCAAGTTATACTTTAGAAGTTGTAACATGGCTTAGAAAGTGATAGATCTTTTTATTGTACCTCTTATACTTATACTTTAGCCATGGTGAAGTCATTGATCATTTATTATTGTGGTTGAAAGCTAAAGATCAAGTTCATAAAATGGGAATATTCATGTTTCTAGACTCCATATAAATAAATCAGTAATATTTACTATTGTAAAGCATTGATTAGTTTTTGAGATTGCCCAAAGAGTTGTGAAGCAATGTTATAGAGGATAATGTCAGTAAGAAAATACTAGTCATTGTGTTAACATTTCTCCATCTTCACCACACAGATCTCTATCTAGGCACAGAGTGTTGTCTAGTAAGAAGCTCACAGGATCACTCAAATCTTTAACTTACATGGGCAGACCTGTCACAGCAGGTAATTTGTTACATGGGCAGACAACGGAGGTGATTTGTTGTATGGGAGATAACTTCACTGTATGTTTCAAACTATAATGTACAAAAACCTGATATTCCGTAATGTAAATTTGAGCTCAGCACTGATTTTGTTCAGATGGACTGCGAGATATTGGGGCATCATACAGAGGCAACAGTGGTTTGGAACATGGTCGACCTAGAAGTGCCTTGACCCAGGCCTGGTCTGAAGGTGCTCCAGCCAAACAGCGCAGGCCAAAGACTTCCCAGAGCTTAAGTCGTGTTGACTCACTCAAGGCAGAGCTGACAAGACAAGCCATGCAAAGTCCAGAGGATGATGGTGACACAACTCACTTCACTCGTGGTGAGTTTATTTTGTGTGATGGTGACACACTTCACTTCACTCATGGTGAGTTATTTTGTGGGATGGTGACACACTTCACTCATGGTGAGTTTATTTTTGTGTGTGATGATGACACATCTTACTTCATGCATGATGAGTTGTTTTTTTGTGATGGTCTAATGGTGAGCATCTTGTCTGTGTATCATAGTGATGCTGGTCACTTTGCAGATGACGTTTCCTCTAATTGAGGTGGTTACATCATTGTCTTTGTAACTTGTTAATATTTTTTGGTATACCTGTAATGTATAGCTGCCTTGACCTAGGCAGTCAATCTAAGTACAGTGATGAGAAAGATTTAATCTGATTAGAAAGATTTAATGTGATGAGAAAGAGTTGTTGTACTTTGCTTTAGTGGGGTTCTTCCTTATTCCAAACTACCCCCAAACACAGATTTATTTTGCTGCCCTAAACTACGCCACTGATTTATTGTTAAAGCTATGTAAGCCTCCCCTCTGGCAAGTTACACACTTTTCATAGTTTGTCCAGCAGTACATTTATTGTTAAAAGTCAAATCTAAGGATCTTTTATAAACATATTTCTTCCCCATGCAGGTTCCTATTGATACTTTTTAATCATATTCTGGATCTCCGTATTGCACTGCAACTTAGTGCATTTTACCTTTGTAACTGCCATTTAACACCTTAAATGAGTGCACTTTAAATTATATTAAATAGCGTTTCTACTCTAGACAAAATTTTGTCCTTTGAAAAAATGCCTTCACCAAAAGCAGGGAACTATTCTTGTCTTAATGACATGCAATCATTATAAGGCTATTTCCTGTCCAGGTAGCGCAGTTCATAGAGACGCCAAGAATAGTACCTGGCCTAGGCCGCTCCCCTCACCCCACCCCTTACACTTAGATCAGGTAGACGTAACACTTAGCGCTGTAGATACAAATCGATAAATCGATTTTAATCAAGCCTATTCTCCCACTGTCACTAGCTGTCTTTGTTAACATTTTTTTGTTGCTGAATAATTTGTTATTTAAAGATATCCATGGCACAATAGAGGTCTGACCGTGTCATGCTAAAGCCTACACCAAGGCCAAATCGATTGGTTTTAGGGAGGTGATAACAAAAGTTCAATAAACGTTTGAATCAAGGCCAAATCGATTGGCTTTAGGGAGGTGACAACAAAAGTTCAATAAACTTTTGAAGCGATCTGCCACGATACTAATTATAGGTAAACGGAGAAGGGGATATTCTGCATCTAAATGTGTTGGTTTCTCCCCCCCCCCCCACCACCAATCAGACGATTCAAGCTGTCATGTTTTGTACTCGCCCGTTCTAACCACGCGGCTTAATACACAAACGTATTCAATGTTTAGTGTGCTAACACTATCCAGTGTTGTGTGTTATCCATAAATGACGTCACACTTTTAGAACTATTTTTATCCCCTCTCTCTTCACCGTCGTCTCGCTTAGTCACAAAAAGAAAGCTACGTCAAATTACGTCACACCTCAGCCTACCATACCATACCAACCGCACCCCTTCATCAAAGTTACACCAAAAAAGTATTTAAAAAACACGAAATAACGGCTAAAATTAATTTACTAACATTCCTTTTTAATAATGGAAAACTGTGTTGTCATACTTTCTGCCACCCCCCCCCCCCTTTATCAAAATTCAGTGCCACCTCTAGGTGTGTGACGTCGTTTAAGGACGCACCCATGGGGGAGCGGCAAAACTTTTTTTAAATAATAAGATTTTCTATAAATCTTGTAACATCCACGTTAAAACAAATGTTAGATATAGAATCTATATCCTTTTCCTATTTTTCTGAGCCAAATCTTTTTACACTGAAAGCTAGTCAATGATGGAGCCACAGTGGATCCCTGAGCCGCATTTTGTCATTACCCGAGTAGCCCATTGATTCAGTGTGTAGGCCGCACTTGTGTGTGTGTCGCCATGTTTGTTGTGACGACACAGATACTGTGTATTTAACAACGATCTGTATTCGCGCAAGAATGAGTTTTCTCTCCGTGAAGACAATAGAATCTTTAATCATGCGTGGAAGGGGGAGGGGGCGCTGAAATAGTTCTATACAAACCCCTTCCTCCCACTTCCTCTTTTAGCCGTGAAACCGCCGCGTGTTCAATAATTCAAACGACATCCCAAGCATTGTATTGGGGCTTGGGGGAAGATGTTGACACGTTGAGTTTTTCCCCATTGTCTTTCAACTAAGAATTGAACGCTGTTCATATTTCAATTTCAACCAAGAAGCCTTGAAGCTCCTCCGCAGCTACTTTAGCACCAGTGTTTCTTTCAGACTTTCTTCTCCGGGGGGGGGGAGCACTTGAAATTTCCGGGAGGGGGGACGACGACGACACTGTTAAAAATATATTTTTTCTATATGAATTCCATTTTGTTCGGGTATGCGGTAGACCCCGAAGAGATGCCTGGAAGAAACTCTGTTTAGCACCTAGCGCCACCTGGGGTCTGGGGTGATATTTGAACCGACAATCAAACTTCTTGAGTGGCATGCTACGGCGCCCCGGTAGTCGTGTGATCCGGAGCGACCCGTGCTCTTCCATGAGAACCATGGCGCCTATATTCGCTTTAACGAGCTGCCTTCACTAGGGATACGGTGGGCTACTACTAAACCAAACCAGCGAAGGCGCCCCGCAGTAGTGACCAACCCCGCACCCCAACGACAAAACCGCAATAAATGTAATATAGACACTGTTTACATTTAAATAACCTGAGTTATAATCAACCGAAAATTATAATTGTAGCATCGAAGAATAGCGTATGGCGCAAACTGATATTAAACGTCACCTCATACAGAAGTGAGGTTTGATGCCGGTCTTAGTAAATAATTACTTGACAACATTCGGCGTATGCATTATTTGAAAGTTTAAACGTTTGAAATAAATAAAACGACACTGTAATGTTTTCCGTTTAAAAATGGACGAGAAGCTTTTTCGTCTTAGATGGCGGCTGGTAAGGTGGTGTAACATGTCGGGGACATGAGTTGGGTTATCAATCTACTAAGTGGGGACATTTGTGGTAGGAGTTTGGTGTAGACTAGTGTAGAGCAATGTTTCATAGCAATGCCTTTTGTTGATTCGTAGTTTTGAAAGAGATCAAATTTCGAATGATCGCAGATCTACATAAAGATCTATAAGTTGCCACACTAGGCTAGTAGCCTACACATTATGTTAAGCCAATAGATGCTTTTCTGGTGATTCTGTTCAAGATGTGAATCCCATATTTTAAAAAATCCTGTGTAGTTAAACTAGTTTCATTTTTTTTGTCGTGGTGCGTGAGTGAAGGGATGGGGGACATATAGGCGCCCTATTTTACGGTACACCAGTCACCATTTTAGTCTCCACTTTGCGGAACACCAAGCACCTATTTAGCTCCCCTCTTTGCGGTTTACCAAGCACCCATTTAGCTCCCTACTTTGCGGTTTACCAAGCCCGCCTTAAGCTCCCCACTTTGCGGTTTACCAAGCACCCATTAAGCTCCCTACTTTACGGTTTACCAAGCACCCATTAAGCTCCCTACTTTACGGTTTACCAAGCACCAATTAAGCTCCCTACTGTGCTGTATAGCGTTACATGTTCAAGTGCTCGAGTGCACGTGACTAGAGCTATCATTGTCACCATCGTAACTGAAGAGTTCTCCTGCTGCGGATTTGTTCAATTATTCATGCCAGCCCCGGTCAAGTGATCTACCAGCTAAGGGAAGGTCACCCAGCGCCATCTAGCGGTGAGAGAAACGTCACGTGGTTTTGCTGAGACAGGGGAGGATAATTACATTACATAATCCACAAGATTTTAAAATTAATTACCACTTTTAAGTTGTTAATTTATTGGCATATTCAGTTATTTTCAACTATAAACGCTCGTACTGTTGAATAGCCGTATGTCCTGATAAAGAGCTACCCCTTACTTTACTCAGCATGATACTTTTTGTTTATGTTTCATTGCGATTGTTTCAGTACTTAGAGATCTATGCATGTACAACCATCTTAACAAAGCCATTGTTTGAATGTTTAAAAATGCAGCCTCGATTGTAGATATGATTATAGAGCTATTGATTAGGGCAGTGTGTATATGCCGCATGGGGAGGATAGAGAATGGGGGGGGGGGGGGGTAGAGTATTGTTGTCATTGTCGGCATCTTTTTGTTTAGACACAATAAACAAAGCCAATGTCGCGTTGATATTTGTGTCCGACCGCTGTGTTTGTGTAAACAGCACGAGAGGTTTAAGCTTCACCCAACTTCAGACTACTGGATCTGTTTCTTGAGTAGCTGATGAGTAGACCAGCCTAGGGTCAGTTTGTGGTCACTTGGTGCTCATCTAGTGAGCTGGTCTTCAGTGAAGTGTAGTATGTACAAGTTTTTCTGTAGTCTTTCGGATCACGTGCTGCCCGCACACCTTCCTACGCTGGGATCTCTTTCCAGTGGTGAGTTTTCTACACAGGGCATTCCGTGACTTGGGCTGGTTCAGTCACCCCACAGGTCCGTGGGCCCGTCACCCCACAGATCCGTGGGCCCGTCACCCCACAGGTCCGTGGTCCCGCCACCCCACAGATCCGTGGTCCCGTCACCCCACAGGTCCGTGGGCCCGTCACCCCACAGGTCCGTCCCTCTGGTCCAGCCACCCCACAGATCCGTGGGCCCGTCACCCCACAGATCCGTGGGCCCGTCACCCCACAGGTCCGTCCCTCTGGTCCCGTCACCCCACAGATCCGTGGTCCCGTCATTCTAGTCCAGCCACCCCACAGATCCGTGGTCCCGTCACCCCACAGATCCGTGGTCCCGTCATTCTAGTCCAGCCACCCCACAGATCCGTGGTCCCGTCACCCCACAGGTCCGTGGGCCCGTCACCCCACAGTGGGCCCGTCACCCCACAGATCCGTGAGCCCGTCATTCTAGTCCAGCCACCCCACAGATCCGTGGTCCCGTCATTCTAGTCCAGCCACCCCACAGATCCGTGGGCCCATCACCCCACAGATCCGTGGGCCCGTCACCCCACAGATCCGTGGGCCCGTCACCCCACAGATCCGTGGGCCCGTCACCCCACAGGTCCGTCCCTCTGGTCCAGTCACCCCACAGATCCGAGGGCCCGTCCCTCTGGTCCAGTCACCCCACAGATCAGAGGGCCCGTCCCTCTAGTCCAGTCACCCCACACAGAGGCGTAGCGACCCTTTCCGGCGCCCGGGGCGAACTTTTAGTTTGGCGCCCCCCCCCCTATATATATATATATATATGTGTGTGTGTGTGTGTGTATGTGTGTGCGACAGTCCGGAAAAAAATTAATAATTAGCTGTATGATTGTCGTTCCCTAAAACTTTACCCCTTAAGATACATTATCCTTAAAAAATGATGATTAGTAATGTCAGAAAAAAATAAAAAATTGTAGCAGGTGCTAATTCTTTTATGACAGTCTTATGTTTTTTTTTCTTTGGAACAGTCTCTTTTATGATATAGTACATATTTGGATTATAAGTTTGTTAGATTAAAGTCATACAAGTGACATACAATAGCAAATTATTGTTCACATTGGAATATGATATGGGTATTTCGTTGACTGGTTGATTGTATAATGAAACAAAGTGGAATCCAACGGACACAACAGCTGAAGTCTTGGATTTATCAGATGTGCGCTGCCTTCTCGCACACAGTCAACAACAAATGCAGAACTAATTGTACTGGTTGAAGAAGCTGTAATAACTGGTTTAATGATAATAGCTGACATTCAGATTAGAATCAGCAGCGATAAAATGCGTATTAACATTCTAAGCTAAATATAATGTATCTTTTATGGTATAGCTCGGAGCTACGTTAAAGACAGTTGAGAATGAAAAGGTGCTGGTTAGGACACAATATGAGAAAGACAAAAAATAACATCACTATGCAGGTGCTTGTGTGAAGTCCATGGGGAAAGAGGAAGAGAAAAAGACTAAATAAGTTCTGAAGGAAATCGTTCGAAATAGAGAAGGGGAAGCTGGATTATTAGGGTTCGATCTTCATAAAAATCAAGTGAGTTGACGAAGTGTTGCCTATGCCTATGTTCCTAATGAAGCCGAAAAGAATAAAAAGAAGAAAATCAAAAGAGTTTAGAACAGTGGGTTCCATCAAACCCAAGATGTTCGGTAATTCAGTCTCAGGGTCTCCGCGGAAGTGATTCACGATTTTATCTGTGTGAACGATACAACTATTAAGAAGGGTTCGGTGAATGTGCATATGAAACTGGTGGGGTTCGGTACCTCCAAAAAGTTAAGAACCACTCAGAGGCGTAGCGACCCTTCCCGGCGCCCGGGGACATACTTTCAATTTGGCGCCCCTTTGGGAGCAAATTTTCGATTTGCACCCCCCTCGAACTTTTCATTTGCACCCCCCCCCCCTCAAACTTTCAATTTGGCGCCCCCCTAAGGTCGGCGCCCGGGGACATATGTCCCCCCCCCCCCGCCCCCCCCCCCTCGCTACGCTACTGGAACCACTGCTTTAGAGTGTATTTTGTAGTAGGTGCAAACTTATTTGGTCTACTTTTGGTCGAGTCTTTAGAACAACTTCGATAATAGTAGGCCTATATTATAATTTTAAGTTATCAGTTAGGTTGAGCAAAGTGTTATGAAAAAAGGAATTTAAAAATGATCTATTCATTGCAATATACCAATTTTCTTCTCTCTTAAAATTTTGGCAAAGTAGAGTGTCGCTTTCCACCACCCTCTCCGACAGTCTGCTATTTTACTTATCGGATAGCGATACAAGAATCCGTGATATTTATTTCTCTTTAATGAAGAGATCCTGGTAAGATGTAATGCAATCAAGTTAAAGTATCTGATCAATCACGATGAAGTTGGACAAAAATGGTAGAGCGGATTTTAAACGTCACTAACTCTTGTTTTAATGTTACACAATCGTAAAATGCGCTTTAGTTCAATGGGTTTCTTTTCTGAGTGATATCGGTTATTTATTCCTTAATCCGGTGTGATATCTTTCCGATTTTAGTTTTCGAAAAAGCGCCCCCCCCCCCCTTCCCACATCTAGGAAAGCTGGAAAGCGGTTTTCCGGTCACGGTTTCTTAAGGATACACGTTTTACAGTTACACAATCAAGGTAGAAAACAGTTAAATCAGTATGCAAAGGCTCTCAGCCGTTAAATTTCTTTACTTTGGCTGTTTATAATTCAAAACTGCAGCTTTAAATGAGCTTTTGAAATAATTTTCTACCCCTTTTGGCGCCCCCCTAGGGTCGGCGCCCGGGGCGGCCGCCCTCCCCGCCCTCCCCTAGCTACGCCTCTGACCCCACAGTACTGAAGCTCAAACATTTGTATTGTAGTGTTCGATTTTTTTCTTATTTAAAAGGTAGCTGAAACAGTATCGCAGGTTCGTCTGTATTTTCTAGAAAACTTGACAGTTTCTCAACAGTTTCATCGCTACGACCTCAAGAAATACAAATTCTTGACACTTCAAATATTACTGCAGTATTCTTATGGGGTCATCCATAAATGACGTCACGCTTTTTTGGAAGATTTTTACCTCCTCCCCTACCCTCCGTCACACGTCGTCACAAAAAGCCAGACCCCCCCCCCTAAAATGACGTCACACCTCAGCCTACAACCCCCCCCCCCCACCTCAAAATTGCAGTTGAATTTTTTTTTAAACATCGATATTTTTCCAAAATCTTGTCTGAAATATGTCAAAATATAGTATTTTAATCATTTCCTATTAAAATTTATTAAAACTGTTTTCTAAAACGCACCATCTGAAACCCCCCCCCCCCACCCCTCATCACACATCGTCACAAAATTACCGACCCCCGACCCCTACGAGTGTGACGTCATTTATGGACGACCCCTATATACTTAATTTCAACGCATCATATACATTATCTATATATATAATTCTCTTCTTGGAGACGTTAGAAAACACCAAGCTGTAACCGCGCCTAGCAGTCCCCTCTCTTCCTCTCTAGGCATATCGCAACCACCCCCACCCCCACATGGTCTGGTGAGCTGTGGTTCACGCTAAATGTTTACAATCGTAGAGCCGGGTTTAGTGACGCCTATTAGGGGGAGATAATTTAGTTTGAAACTTTTAAACTTAGGGGAGGTAACTTAGAGCAGGCTACTTTCACGGGGGGGGGAGGAGGGTTTTAGTGTTTTAAAGCAAATATTTTCTGTGGCAGCATTGGTACTGTCGAATTCACACATTATGAATTACTGTAGAGGAGAAAATAAAACTAAATAACGGCTCGTATACTGTAATGCTAGTGACATACGGACACCTAGCTTAAAGATGACCCTTGTGTTTGATTATGCTAATGACTTCTTACAATGCTCAACAGGCGGACAGGCGTGGGGTGACCAGAGTGAACAAGATGCATCTGAAACACCCCACAGGGAGCAGTCGGCCATGGAGGAAGATGAAAGGGAGGCGATGCTTGCTGAGGCAGCCAGTGTTCTCTCCTCTTTAGCTGAAGAAGGGGACATTGATGTCCCCAATGGTTAGACATTTTTCTACTAATGTGTGGGGTATTTTTATTGTGGGTGCTTGGATCTTTATTTTTCTACTGTATGGGGTATATTTATTATAAGTGATTGGATGGTTATTTTTAATTTTTAAACTGATGTCTGCTATAAATCAACTTTTCCCATTTTTGATCCAGATGATTCGACAGAATGGGATGATGATCAGCTGGAAGATGACCAGTGGCCAGAGGAGGAACAACAGGGACATCTAGTCATATCAATGTTAGTTGGTGTAGTTGGTTACATATATTTTTAGACCGTCAGACATATCCATGTTAGTTGGTGTAGTTGGTTACATATATTTTAAACTGTCAGTCATTCTAGTCATATCAATTTTAGTGGCAGAAGTTGGCTAAATGTATTTTAAACTGCCGGTTATACTAGTCTTTCCAAGTTAGTAAAAGTAGATGGCTAAATGTATTTTAGTTTTAGACTTCACATTATTCTAGCCATATCCATGTTAGTTGGTGTAGTTGACTAAATACATATTGAAAAAGAGTGTCTGATGATTTTTAAATATTAAGCAACATGAATAGGGGAAGTTTAAAAAAAAAGGACAGCATTTTGTTAGTTGAGAGGTTGTTTTTTTCAGTATTACAGTTGAAATTTTTAACCTGTCAGGGGAAGCAGTCTAATGATAAGGGATGCTAATTTATATTTAAATGTTTTTTTTATTGATTAGACCAAGTAAAGTTTATAACCTATTTGTTTGTTTCATTAGAAACATTCAAGTGATTGACTGATCTCTTTGTTTCAGAAACAAAACACCTTATCACCCCCCACAGCAGTGAGCTAGACCCAGCTACAGGACCCTTACATCCACCATATTCTGGTACCTGGCTTACAATGCTTGGCATATCCTATCACTTTTTATAAATGTTGCTGTTTGTAGTACATGGAAAAACCTCTTCAAATGGTTTTTAAACTGTATTTACAGGTGTCCTGGATGGATCTGCAGTGGAGGAGAGGAAAGAGATAGAAGAGTTACACGGTAACTTTTATTTAGAATCTTGTGTTTCTTCTTTCTTATATATTTTTCTTGTCCAAGGTATTGCCAGCATATCCTTTAAAGGTACAGATTTATCCCCTGCACATTAATATATGTGACAAAATATTTACCTAGAACATGTTAAATTTGTTTCTACAAAGATAAAATTTGACCCTGTAGCAGTGTAATTTAAATAGATGAAATAAGATGGCATAATGGCATTGGCCTAGTTGGCTAAGATAGCACAGATGAGAATTCTTGACACACACCCACACTAAAAAAAAGAATATGGATATTACATTAAATAGACATGCAAAAAACAACAACACATAATCTTCAGACTCAGAACATGCCACAACAGACTAAAACAGCACACACATAAAAAACTAAAAGTTGGTCCTAGCGAAATTTGCGCATGTGGCATGGCCCCGGAGAATATTGAGTGCATCTTTCAGGACTGTTCTTTACATAGCCAGGCATGATCCAAACACTGGCCCCTATACACCCGACTCAAGGAAAAACTATACCAAGTAACCGCGGATCTGGAGACCACAGTCAAGTTCATACTTGAAGTTGGACTTGTTGTTTAAATCCTCCACCATAAACTAAACTTAGAGCGCAGAAGAAGAAGAAGTATTCTTGACTAGGGCTAAAAATGTGTTTTTGTATTTTTTGTACTCTGAGGAAGCTTAAGAAAATTTTAAGATTTTTAAAGGATCAATGTTACAAAATTAGCAAATGCAGATAACTTGAAAATTATTACTTTTTGCTTTGAAACTTCATTTCTATTGATAATATAAATTATATGCACTGATAAATCACATTAGTGCATCCAATCTGTAGAAAAGTTATACATACAAAGACTAATCAACTTAAAACAGTATGTTATAATGACCCTGCACATCATTTTTAAAATAATTAATGTCCACTTGAAATGGGCCCATGCCATTGAAGAATGGTTCTGGATTTTGTAATTTAAAAACATTATATATCAAAATGTGATATTTTAAAAGACATTACTTAAAGAGAATAATTAACAGATAATATTATATCCTGTAAGTGTGTAGTAACATCCCTGTCATTCCCTGCTTGTTCAGATACCCATTCAAGGGGAAGCTTTGGTACACCAGTCCCTTCATCAAGGGGAACAACTCCATCAGTCAGGCATAGCAATGCTGAACACAGCCTAGAGCAAGTAAATGAAACCCCAACAATTTTAGAACTAGTTAAGTTTCTTTATCCAGTCTCCCCACACACACCCGACATTAAACAATGTTAACCTTGTTGTACCAGGTTTTATACACCAAGACAGAACTGGACAGAATGCAGGCAGGAGCAAACATTGCCACTGAGTCTGATGTGTCTGTACAACATAGCAAGGAAGCTGAAAGAGGTTAGTAGCTTTTGTCTTATTTTGGTTCTATTGTATGTTAAATACTTATTTACGAGATAAATGGCCCATTGAGGAAGGATACAATGGGCGCTAAGTTGATAGTGCTGTCTCTTTTCTCTAAGATTAAACCAAAATCATGGTCTTAATCAAATTTAACAGGAAATGAAAAATTATGTTGAAAATGCATTTTTATCCAGAATCCGTACTTTAATAGGATTTAAGCTTGATCTACACATAGTTACTGCACATTGGTACTAAATATAGTCGTAGCCATACCCCCAAACCAGGGGTCGGCAACCTGCGGCTCACGAGCCACATGCGGCTCTTTTGATATCAAGGTGCGGCTATTCCGCTCTATGAACAAATATTAATAATTATTTTATTTTATTTTTAAAACTCATTAAAATATTAGTCTGCAACAATCGGTAATGAATGATATATACTTCCTAAAGTTTCATGGCGATCGGATGAAAGGTGTAGTAATGAATAACAGACAATCAGACACACACATATATATGTATATATATATATATATATATATATATATATATATATATATATATATATATATATATATATATATATATATATATATATATATATATATATATATATATATATAGATATATATAGATATATATATAGATATATATATATATATATATATACATATATATGGGAGCCGGACGTTTTCCCGAAAGACACTTGCCCGAATGCCGTTTGCCCGAAGGCCGATTTCCCGAATGGACACTTGCCCGAATGCGACAAATGCCCGAATGGACACTTGCCCGAATGCGACAAACGCCCGAATGGACACTTGCCCGAATGCGACAAATGCCCGAATGGACACTTGCCCGAATGCGACAAATGCCCGAATGGACACTTGCCCGAATGGGACAAATGCCCGAATGGACACTTGCCCGAATGCGACAAATGCCCGAATGCCACTTGCCCGAAGGCCGTTTACCCGAAAAATGTTAATATTAGATAATAAATATTATTTCCAAATAGACATTCTTTAATCAATTTAAGTTTGAAAATTTGATTATAAACACAATTCTAAGCATAAAACAAATTTTTCTATATTTTTAAATTTAGCTTTTATTTTTTTTTCAAAACCGAGAAAGTGCAGTAAGAAAAACTTTAATCTTTAATAAATGTAAGGTGATGTTGGCGGCTGTGTTCTAACATTCTTTTGATGAATGATTTGAACACCTTGTTTAGCCGACGTGTTGCGGTGGTTATATAGCTTTTATTACACGGCGTAGGCGGCGCGGCGTCTCGCAACATTGAACAGAAGCGCGTTTGTTTGTTTATCTTATTATGCCTAACTTGTGTGGTGATCATTTAACAAAAGAATGAGGCGAGGTCTAGGTGGCAAATTTAAAAACTAAACGTAGTCAAATATGTTTGATTTCCATTTAATGCACCTTGTTAAGACAATGTGTTGAAGCGATTACTTAATAAAGAAAGCAAAACTCATTTTACAATCCGGAGATGAATGAAAATTGTATTTTGTCTAATTTCATATATGGAAGAGAAAGTATGATTCTACACTTTTTAAACATCAAATACAAATTAATTTAAAATATCTGCGTGGTAATATATAATATTATTTTTTTTCACTTTCTTTTTGCGTAGATGTGTTTTACTTACCAACATTTTAAATTTAAATTGATTACGAATGATTATTTAGTAATATATAATGTTAACATTTTTCGGGCAAAAGGCCTTCGGGCAAGTGGCATTCGGGCATTTGTCGCATTCGGGCAAGTGTCCATTCGGGCATTTGTCCCATTCGGGCAAGTGTCCATTCGGGCGTTTGTCGCATTCGGGCAAGTGTCCATTCGGGCATTTGTCCCATTCGGGCAAGTGTCCATTCGGGCATTTGTCGCATTCGGGCAAGTGTCCATTCGGGCATTTGTCGCATTCGGGCAAGTGTCCATTTGGGAAATCGGCCTTCGGGCAAACGACATTCGGGCAAGTGTCTTTCGGGAATTTGTCGTAGACCCCATATATATATATACATATATATATATATATATACATATATATACATATATATATATATATACATATATATATACACATATATATATATATATATATATATATATATATATATATATATATATATATATATATACATATACATATACCTAATCCTAATCAAAGGTCGTAATATTGCAATTAAAATGTTAGTGGCTCTTTAAAAGTTGGGAAAATTTGTAAAATGTAACTTTTCACTCTGCTGTCTCAAAAGGTTGCTGACCCCTGCCCTAAACCTTGCACCTAATCTCAATCATGACAAAAGTCACATTTAGAGTTTCTTACAGGCGACTCTACTTGCCCCCCCCCCCCCCCCCCCCCCCACCCCAAACACATCTACCATCCTATTCAACGAAATATAATTTATATAGAAAATATACTTTCACCCTGCCAGAAAGTTTAGTCCATTTAGTTCACCCCCACCCCCTCTGGGGAGGAAAAATGAAAGAAACACTGGTCATATTTGTAGATCATACCGCCTAAAGGTTGAGCCTACCCGAAGATATGCATGAAAGAAACTCTGCAACAAACCACTTTTAAGATTAGAAAAAAAAGGCGTCAAGTTTTTTTTTTTTTAATTACTATGCATGTTTTTACTCGTGTTTTCTTTATAGTAAAAGCATTCCAACAGATACATAGATAGATAGTTAGATAGATAGATACACAGATAGATACACAGACAGCGAAACTATTAGTATTAATGGGTTTTTAAAAAATAAAAACTGTTGGAGGACTATGGATATATCAGTAGCTGATTGAAAGGGAAGAATGTATGATTTGTTGTGTCTCATAGTACTCTACATATCATTCATGCTGCTTATAATATTTTTCCCCAAAGTTATTTCAGCTCCTGTTATAAGCCAATACCTCCTCAATCCACCTCACAGGAAAATTGCTCTTATACTTATTTTTTCTACAATTTCTTTGTTTTCTCTCCACTGAACATTGAATCACCATTTAAATACATACACTTACATTTTCAGGTTTTAAAAATAAAATTGAAAATAGGCATTTTGTATTATTTACAAGTAAACCATCTTCAATGAATGAAAGACCATGTCAGAAAGAAGTCCTCACTAGTCAATGATGAAAACTAATACTAAAGCAATCATGGCAATGCAAATTGACACTGTAAATTACATGTCTGAGGCAAATAAAAAAAAATAAAGCTAATTTTTTAACCAAAAATAATTTTATAGGTTGCAGATCGAAATAAATAAAGCGAGATTTTTATAAATAACTTAGGAACTAGCTTTAGTCCGTTGTTATGAATACAACCAGAAATTGAGGCCCAGCTGAGAATATCCAACATTTGGCTGTACACTCCCCTTGTGTGTATTGGGCTCACCCTAATTGTACATACAGTGCAGTTATCAAAGATCTGAACCTAAGATATTTGATCTAACAATCACAGGCTCAATGCTCTAAAAATATTGGGCTCACCCTAGTCGTACATACAGTGCAGTTATCAAAGATCTGAACCTAAGATATTTGATCTAACAATCACAGGCTCAATGCTCTAAAAATGTTTCTTTCCTTTCTTGCATGATTTGAATAAGATTTGACTTGCCTTGTTGTCTTTATGTTTACATTACATCTGATCTTATTCTTGATATTTTCTCTTGTTCTACATTCACCCAGTGCGATTTTATCTTTTTATTCTCTTTAATTCTGTAGCTGCCAAACTTGCAGCACTTGACTACCTGTTGGCGCCATCAAGTCAGTCAAAGCCCCCAGAGTCTACAACAACAGAAGCCGCGCCTGCCACACAGGAAGAAAGTGATGAAGATGTCATTGAAAAACCAGAGCCACTGGCACCTAAAAGAAGAGAGCGGCCTGCGGATGTGACGATACCTAAGGTAGAAGAGGAGGAGGGGGAGAAGAAGGAAGAGGATGTTGGCAGAAATGAGGAACCTGTGACGTCATATTCAGAGAGAGTGAAGCAAGAGAGGGAAGAGAAGGAGAGAAAATCTGCAAAGCTAAGGGAGGAAAAAGAGAAGGCGGAGGCCAAGAAAAGAGAAGAAGAGGAACTGAGGAGGCTGGAGAAAGAGGATAAAGCTAAGGCTGCAGAGGAGAGGTTGAGGATGAAGGCGGAGGAGGCAGCGAAAAGAAAAGAGGAAGAAAAGAGAAGAGCACAGGAAGTGAGTTTTGCCTACATTTAAAAAAAGTTTTTATCTTTAATATTAGTCAAAAAAATTTTGTATATTTAACGTTTGTTTGCAGCCACAAAATAAAAATTGAAGCCTAAAGTGTTTAAAATTATGACTTTGTGTTGGCACACGTTCCCAAATATTGAGTTGTATACATTTTGAAATTTGATCACTTTTATGTCTGAATTATTACTTGATTTGAATAAGATTCAGTTATTTTAGATGTTGAATCTATTTTCCACATTTTTTAGCCATACTCTACACTTTTCAGTGAGCTGATTATGTTTGTTAAATAAAAATCGTCAAATATGATTATTTCTGGTTCTTCAGGATGCACCTGCTGGTAAAACTCCAGACATTGTATTGAAACCCACCCCTCCCCCAGGTAGGAAGGAATCACCAAGCAGGTCCAAGGGAGGCAAGTCAGTGAAAAAAGTCCCAACAAGGGACAGTAAGGCAGCAAACAAACAGTTTGTGAAAGCCTTGGATGTGTCTAGTGCTCAGCAAGATGGCGCTGCAGTCACAAGCTCTGCTGTAAGTTGGTCTCAAGCCCCAGTGAAGGTTTTATCAAATCAGTAGCAGAGTTTTGTTTTACATAGACAATCATTTATCAAGGCGGGATTAAAAATACAGGACTTTAATTATCTATTTTAGCCGATTTTTAACACCCATCCCCAATTAAATACAAGAAGTCAGACAAACCATTTAAACTGATGTCATTAAATCATAACCCCCCCTCCCCCAAATCAAATAAATAATTGCAAGGTTGCTCCTCTGTGGACAACCCGTTTTAGTTTGTACATAAATTGGGTTTTCCCAATATAATGTAACGTAAAACACAAACAATCATGACATGAAATAGTCAATTCTATTTTCTTTGCACATCTAGAAACCTGCAGCAGACCAACCCAACCAAGTGCGCAGGGGGAGGGTGACAGCTGTGAAGAAAGAGCCAGAAGTTCCAGGTCATCTGATGGAGATGTTGTCCAGAAAAAGTGCCAGTCAGACAGAGCTAGAGATGGAGGAGGAGATCCTCAAAAGTGAGGGATGGGCTGGGTGGGGTGTTATAGGGTCAGTGGTGGGGTGTTGGTTGGGTGGGGTGTTGGTTGGGTCAGGGCTGGGGGTGTTATAGGGCCAGTCAGACAGCAAGAGATGGAGGAGGAGATCCTGAAAAGTGAGAGATGGGCTGGGTGGGGTGTTATTGGGTCAGGGTGTTGGTTGGGCCTGGGGGATTATAGGGCCTGGGCTGGGGGTGTTGGTTGGGTCAGGGCTGAGGGAATATAGGGCCAGTGGTGGGGGTGTTGGTTGGGCCTGGGGGATTATAGGCCAGTGGTGGGGTAATGATAGGGCTGGGTGGGTTTTGACATACATTTTGTAACCCTAAAGAGTGAGGTAGATGGAATGTAGAGCTGTCGGTAAAGTAAAGTTTCCCTTTCAAACCTGACGGTCTATGGGGCAAGTGAAGTAGAGTTCACTTGTTTCTGTGACCTCAGCATATGAATGTAGAGCTGGGCATTATCAAAACTTTTGAAGTGCTGACACAGAATTTATCACAGGGTTAGGTAGTCAACAGTTCCCTAGGAAAGGGTTGACAAACTACCTTGATGACAGAAACCTAATTAAACTCCCGTTATTGCTCATGCAAAGCTCGCCTCTAGAAAACTGGTAATGTATAATTTCAGTGAAAAATGCAGTTGACAATGCCCTGGCAGGAAGTGTTGTTCAAGTAGATGGTGAAGAGGGTTTGACAGAGGAAGATTTCAAGGCTGCCCAGGAAGCTTTAATGGTAAATATGGCGTCACAACTACCTCACACACTTCACAATCCTTTACCATCTTTCCTCTGTTTGAAATGACTGGCCTGGTTTTTGTAACCATTTAAATTGTGTATTACATCTCGTCTTTTAGTTATAAGTTTTTATGACACGACAGTTAAAAATTCGCTTTAATTAACTTTAAAGTAAATGGATTTACGTGAAGACAAATTAGCCTGTTAATTCAATAAAGTAATCAGACAATGGAGAATGTTTGATTTAGCTCTCTATCCCAACTGATCATGTTACGTTTCTATAGTTACAAAATTTAAACCAGGCATCAGTCAATCTTTAACTGTAAGAAAAACAATGCAGAAATAAGTTATTTTCTAAATTTATTTTACTTAAAATATGTTAAGATCAGTAATATCACATATGAATTATATAATAATTCATGTGCCATTAAAATAATTATATGTATGATGGATACAATTCCAATCAACTTTGTGTAAACAACAAACCTAGATAAAGTTCTGAAATAAATGTTGCCATGATTCAGGAAAAGATCAAGAGAGCGGAGGAGGGTATACAGGAGCCCACTAAACAAGCAGGGAAGAAAGGGACGTTAAGCAAAGTCAAACCTGAGCTCAAACCTCGTCTGGGCAAGGCTAAGAAACAGCAGGAAACAGCCAAACGCGATCTAGTCAAGGAAAGGGAGGCAATCAAGGAGCGGGAAAGATTAGAGAAAGAGGTAGGTCACTATTTTTCTCTGGACAATCCTTTCATCCTTATCCTTGTAAAACAGAGTTGGTCATGTGCTGTGCAATGGTTTAAAAGCAACGCCCAAAACAGCAGCCTTACTTTGAGGTCACTGACTTGAAAAAATAAGTTATCTCCTCAGTAGCACAGTGAATCAGGCAAGTTGTAAAAAATCCCTCTGTCTTGATTACCTTGGTCATCATTGACCAACATTTCCTGTCAACTTCAATCAACATAGACACATAACAGTAAACCAGCAGTATATGAAACCCAATTATTTATTAAGTTACATAAATATAAGATGGCACTAATTACATGTTAATTCGAAAATCAGCATGTCAATTTTTAAAAAATTGCAATGTTCCAGTAAAAGATATCTCAATCTAAATTCATTGCTATTGCTCAAGGATCTCTGTATGTAACACAGCTACAGCAAAGAATTTGATACACTTGTGGATGGTTAGAGTGTGCTTTCCTCAGTAGGACATTCTACAAATACCACTTTACTAGGGGTTTCCATATTGAGGTTGTTAAAATTCATAACAGATATCAATGGAATTATAGATGATTTAAAATATATCTGAAATATGAAAATCCTTTTATATCCAATGCTGTAAACAAATGGTTATACAGATAGGTATTAATTTTTCTGTGCGATAATATGTAAACATCTGGAATGAAAAATGTAAACAACAAAATAACAGTAGAGAATCATCACAGATAAAGTAATGATTAAAGTACATAGCTGCTCTCATGTAATGTAAAGTTTACATTTTGCAACAAATAACAGTAACAAAAATACTTGAGTTCAAAACTTGGTTGTCTGCTGCCCATACCTTGGCTATCCTAACTTCTCAACTTTACTTCTGTAAGAATTGGGATTACCAGTTTTTAAATTTGCTATTACCTCACCCATTTTTAGAATCATGTGTTTTGATTGATAAAACATCCAATAAGTTATTTGGTTAGATTTGATGTGTAAAGACAAAATGTACTACTAAATCTAAAAATATATCATTTAAAAAAAATTGAAACACCTTTGCGATACAATATAACAATTAACAGAAAAAGGTTTTATAATCATATGACATGTTTAACTTACAAAATAGGTAAATGTTAGCTTGAAAAAGATTGTAGGATAAATATAATTAAAAGATGTGTGTACAGATTCACAGAATATAATAAAATGATACATCACCGGAAATGACAAGAATATTATAAGATCATTTAGAGCAATTTAAAACAAAATATTCAACAAATTTCTGCATCAGAAAAAACATGGATGATCAAATCCTTAACTTTTTAAAATTCTCGGTTTTGATCAGTTTGAGTTAATAGTAAATCATTGCCATTTATTAATTAAGTAAATCACCATCAACACATGAGATTAAAACAACATGGTTTAGACATGTAGGTCATCAAGTTCTCCTGTAGCTTAGTCCTACAGGGGACAATACAAAAGAATCATTTTTGTATTGTGTTGTGAATTTGGTTCCTAAGGTAACTTGGTACAATGTTATCCTAGAGCACAATCACTGTTGTTGATTAATGTCTGTGCTTGCAGCTAAATCCCATTTAACAACAAGAAATCTCTCACAGCCATAGCCCATACTGATGAGCTGATCAAATGTAATGTTCTTGTAGGTGTTTCTCTTTGTCTTTAGACAGACACGGGCCTCTGTGACCAGCTCTTTGCCTGGCTCAGGCCGCTGTGATAGCCTTGAGTACACCTGCCACAGTTCAGAGAAGCCACTGCCCCCTGACACCTTGGCTGAGATGTAGCCGGTCCCTGTCAAATAAATTGGCAACTCCACCTTTGGCGTAGCTGATATGTGTACGTACACATGTAGGCGTCGGCTTGTTTTATCCAGTTGTAGACGAAGTCGAATTTTGCAAGTGAGCTTGCTGGTCAGGTAGTAAGGGGTTAGGAAATCTTCCTGTGTGTTGTAGAACAAATGGCTCTCTGGTATTTTTGTGATGATGCCATCGCTTGGTATGAATAGTGGTTGAGGCAAGGAGTTTGTAGGTTTTGTAGGCTGATTGGATTTAACAGCTGATTGGGGCACTGTTACTGAATTAGGTGCTGTTGAAGGATCAGTGGATTTAATGGCTGATTGAGGCACTGAGTTTGGTGCTTTCAAAAGATAAGTTGATTTAACAGGTGGCTGAACCACTGATGTGGAACTGGCTGAGTTGGATGCTATTGTAGCATGACTTGATTTAAGAGCTAATTGTGGCACATTTATAGTGCTTACTGAGTTTAGTGATTGTGAAGAATGGGTTGAGGCACTGGCTGGCTTAGACTGTGGTGCTGTAGTAGAACTCACTTTCTGAGGTACTGGCTGAGGTACATGCTGAGACACTGAAGTGACCTGATGAGCCAAACCTTTATCACTAGTTTTGACATTTTGATTTGGCTGGGAGGTTTCTTTTTTCCAAATGCCAGCTCCAAACTGTGGTGTGATAATCTCTTTTGTGGCACAACTTTCCATAGCTTTGGTGTTGACATCACCAATGAACTGTAATGGGACATCATTAGATTGTTTTGAAGCAAGGCATTTAGGAGTAACTTTTTGGATAACTTGGGAGTTTGCTATCAAAACTGTGTGCTGAGAGTTCACTTTATTATTAGAATCATTTGTAGCATTGATGTCACTTTTTTCAAATGATAAATTGTTTGTCCTTGAAACAGCAAAGTTTTCACTTCCAGTACCAGGTAGAGGTAGAGAGAAGGAGTTGACTGAAACCATTGAACTGTCGTCATCTGTGCTATGTGATGATGATAAGGAAGAACGTTTAACTTCCTGACTCACTTGAGCTCTTCCATTATTGCTAACTACTGATGAGGCTGTCATTTGGTTATCTTTCACTGGTAGACTTGGGGCTTGGTTAGGCTTAACTGTCTCTTTAGTGGACAGCTCACTTTCCTTGAGTTTTTTAAACACTTTTTCCAGCTGACTGAAGACCTCTCGCCTAAGGGAAGTAATGCTGCTTTTTATGTTGTCAACTTCAGCCTTTAGAACATGAAGCTCCTGAGAGTGGTGCTGCACTTGTTGTTCAATGTTTGCATTAACAAATGCTTGATCTGACTTTTGACAGACAGAATTGTACTTGAGCTCTTGAATCAAAACATTTAGGTGGCATAACTCCCATGAATGATGCTCCAAAACTGCCATTATCCCATTCTTTTCTGGCTGTTGATATAAAAATTCAAGACATTAGCTGTATGTTAATAGAGCTGTGGTGGACAATTTTTGTATCTGCAAGTCTTTGAAATAGTGCTCCTTTATCATTTGTATTGTTGAAATAACCAAGTACAATTTGCTGCAAATGTTGTCCCTTACCCCCTCCCTTTCTACATCACAGCACTGCTCTGCTTGAAAGTACTGATTGATTTAACAACAAGCAATTATTACCTTTTTTATAACTTATCCTACTTAATCTGCCATATGGAAGATACTTCTTTTCAATTAATACCTTATGAAAGCAAATAACAGTATGTCTAAAACAGTGTCAATAAAACACTTTACCTGGGTATGAAGATCCTTGTAAGCTGTGTTTCCTAGATTCAAAACACCTTGATTCATCAGCTTTAGAGATTCTTCCCTGTGCCATATCTCCATAAACTCAGCCTGGCCAATTCCCATTTGTTCTGCCAGTGCTGCACCATCAAAAACCTCCATGTTTTATTAATTGATGTAATTCTAGCTGGATAGATCTGCCTGTTTCTCTATATTTGATGTATATAATTTTCAAGTTAAGAAGTTTTCATGTTAAGAAGTTTTTAATAGAATAAATTCTTTAAAATATAGGATAAAGTTAGAAAAAGGGAACTGTTATATAATATCAGCTGGCATTGTACTGAAAATTACAATCAATTAGGCCTAATTAGTATTAATAATAATATTAATAGGCCTTAACTATTTTATATTAGGGTATTAGGCCTAGGCCCTATATTTTAAATAATAAAACCTAGGTAGAAGTTTTTATGGTTTTATGGTAATTTTTACTAATCTGTCTAATAAACTCTAATAGTAGTAATACATTAGCAGCCAAAAACCATGATCCATACTGCTAGTTTCCGAAGTCTTTCTAAAGTATAAAAACTAAAAACTCTGTAGTAGTTTAGTTAACATACATTTACTCTTACTTTAATATAAACATAGGCCTAGTTAGATTATATGATGATCTGGGCTTTTTAAAATCTGGCCCTATAAATCATCCTGGATTTCTAGTTATGTAAATCTAGATCTAGTAGAAGTCTAAGTCTAAGGGAGCCTAAGGGGGTGCCTTAAGCCCACTTCACTTATTACTTTAATAATACTTTAAATTAAAGTAAGAGATATGAAAATATTACTAATACATTCGGCTAATTTTATTAATTAAATAGGCCCTAAATAGCTTTTATAATGATATTCTACTTCTAGGCCTAGATCTATAATAATCTATATTATATACTATACTTATTTTTTACTACTAACTTTATATGCCCTGCTCTATAGAATAAATCTAGATTCTAGAATTTCTAGATCTAAAAATTAAGTAAACTTTAAATAAAAAGCTGTCCAACATGCGAACGAAAGTATTAGGGCCTAAGTGTGTTGTTTTAGGTTAGGTACGTAAAATCGGCGGCTAGTAATGTGCGACAAAGTTGCCTCATTGTTAAGGCTTATAGAAGTATATTGTGATATATTTGTGTCAAATACTATAGATAATTGAATAATAAACTAAAATCAATGACTAAACATATATATCAAGCAAGATTGCGAGCAAGATTTGCTATAGAAACAGCAGCCATTTGTAAAATAGAGTGCCTTCTCCTGAATCTCCCACTATAATTTGACTATAAGTATAAGTTTACCAAAAACCTTAAACAAGATTAGATGGCTGCTAAAGTAAATGAGCTTTGTTGAATCTGATGAAAACATCGCTAGTCTTTATTTATTACTGAAAAGTTTTAATACGCTTGTTCAAAAACAGGCAGATCTAGATTTCTACATGAATCATGAAATTGAAACTTTGTAACATTTTTATTAGAACTTTCAAAACATAGATTCTAGAAGATCTAGCTAGTCTAGATCTAGATCTAGATTCTAAATAATAAAATATAGGGCCTATTAGTTAAGTTTAGTATAGTCTAAGTATAGGCCTAATAATTTTATAAAAACTAAACTAGACTTAATAACTTATTAATTATATTAATTAATAATTGCTTTGTTACAAACACACTGCCAAACACTTCTGACTTCAAATAGGCTTATAAACCATAGTATAGGCCTACTCAAAAAAGAGTCAAAGTACTCATACACTACACGTATCATAGTGAGTAGTGTGTAGGTAGTGTAGACCTAGATCTAGAAGTAGATCTAGTAGTGTAGTAGAAGTGTAACCTTTTGGATTTTACATTAAACATCAAACACCAGGTCAAGAAAACGGGAACTTACAAGCCTAGAATCTAGATTAGAAGCTAGATTTAGATTTGAAACCGAAACTGAAAAACGAAGCACTATTTATTTACTAGGAATTTCATGCATGACCAGATCAATTTGTGAAGGCTTTAGGCCAAAGCCAGGATTAATTATGCTTCTTACAAAAGTTAACCTTTCACCTAGACTATTAATTAGCAGATCAGGGGAAAGCTGTTTAACTCTTAGTATTTTAAAACGGTTTCAATTGTTTAGAATATATAGATTCCTATTTTTTTTAGAATTGATAAATGTTTGCTTTCTAATATCAATAGTAATAAAACACAAGTTTTTTCTTCCAAAATGGCAAGCTAAAATACCTAAAACTAGCACACGGGTGAAGGCGAGACCCACTACCGGGTTGCTGTGTATTGTATATAGATTCTAGATCTAGTAAGTTATGCAGGCCTATATTGTATGGGCTGTTTTAGGTATGACAGGGCCCCCAATTACACGTTTTTTTTTTTCTGGGAGCCTGACGCTTATTTATTCTGGCGAATATAGAAACTAATGCTGCTCCCACCCATAGAAAAAAAAAACAAGTAGGCCTATAGGCCTAGTTTAATATCATTAATTTAATGAACTTCGAGCTCCCCCACCCCCAATCCTAGGCCAATGGGATCCACATATTATAACGATACAGATCTAGGCAATGTGAGAAAATGTTAGAATTAAGTTTTTCACTGAACTATGGTAAGGTGAAATCAGCGATGAGCGAGAAATGTTTTTAATATAGATCTAGGCCTGTATTCCTATTTCTACTTCTGGAAGCTTTTTCATTTACATGGTTCCTGTTATTGTGTGTATTTTATAATTAGAAGAGAAATCATTCACGTGATGTATTACTATTTCAACTGACAATAGGGTGTAACTGGCTTGTGTTCTTTACCAAAAGCTTTCAAATTATTTGTATCTGCCCCCCCCCCGCCCCTTTTCTCTGGCACCTTTAAAAATCTCTATAATTTGGGCTTTTCCGTGTCCGAATCCTTTTCAAATTGTAACAACTTTAGATAGCAAAGAACTTCACAAACGTCATTCTACGCTGTCTCCCGAGAAAAACAAAACAACCTTTATAGCCACTTATGTATAGGTGTTGGTCGACATTGTAGGCCCATAGATTATATTTTTCAATTTTTCTATATTACGACCAATACAAACCATAGTTCCCACATCCAGTTGTTTCAACTGTTGAATTGTTTTTTTTTTGTTTTTTTTAAAATACACATTTTTTGGTGATAGGCTTACATTTATATTCACTTCATGAAGACGTGCTCGCGTTTTTGTTGTGACGAAAAGCTTGCTTAAAATAATAATCTTTGTTTTCTAAACTTTTTGCTTACGCTCTTTCGTCTGACACTAGTGCACGTACATAACTGACCTAACACATACGTGCACATACATACCTGACCTAACACGTGCACATACATAACTAACCTTACACACACGTGCACATACATAGCTGACCTTACACACACGTGCACATACATAACTGACCTTACACATACGTGCAGATACATAGCTGACGTTACACACACGTGCACATACATAACTGACCTAACACACGTGCACATACATAACTGACCTAACACGTGCACATACATAACTGAACTAACACACACATAACTGACCTAACACGTGCACATACATAACTAACCTAAGACACACGTGCACATACATACCTGACCTAACACACACGTGCACATACATACCTGACCTAACACACACGTGCACATACATACCTGACCTAACACGTGCACATACATAACTGACCTAACACGTGCACATACATAACTGACCTAACACGTGCACATACATAACTGACCTAACACACACATACATAACTGACCTAACACACACATACATAACTGACCTAACACACACGTGCACATACATAACTGACCTAACACGTGCACATACATAACTGACCTAACACGTGCACATACATAACTGACCTAACACACGTGCACATACATAACTGACCTAAGACACACATGCACATACATAACTGACCTAACACACACGTGCACATACATAACTGACCTAACACGTGCACATACATAACTGACCTAACACACACGTGCACATACATAATCAGCAAACTAGCGACTTAGGGAGTTGTTTTATTTTACTATTTTCTTTTAACTGAATATTTATTTCAGTATGCACTATCTCCGCCCCCTACAAAGCAAGTTTAATGTACAATCGCTATTTAGCGAGTTGCTTGACTTCAAAACACCACCTGAGTTCGAAACTATCTTTGCCAACATATCCCTTCTCGGCTAGTTGCTGGTATGTTATGTTAAAGTATTCGTTTCTAGCCGTCTGTAAACATATGTAAGGCTCAAAATTTGTCAAGGAGATTTCTGGAAACTTCCGTTTGACATTCGTGACGTGCCAGAGCTTGGTGTAGCTGTTGGATGTGCTGTGACGGATGAAGCCGTAACTGTTGAAGTAGAAGACGTGTGGGGTGGCCGCCGTATCGCGAGGCGAGAAACACAAGCCGACTGCGACGCTGCCGTTGCTTCTGAAGCTCACTTGGAAAATGATGTCGCAGTTGAGTTTCTTGCAGTAAAGCGGCGGAGCCAGGAAATCGCCTTTAGTTTGGTACAAATCGCGAACGTTTGGTACTTTAGTGCACACGTAAGAGCCTAAAGTTAGGTTGGCGGGTTGCTCCACATGGTCAGCGCTTGATTCAGCTTTCACTGATAAGTTGGTTGTACTTTGTTTAGCTTTGTTCAATGGGATGTCTTTAGCTGATTCAGCTTTGTTTAATGGAATGTCTGAAGTTGATTCAGCTTTGTTTAATGGGGTTTCTGAAGTTTTTTCAGCTTCGTTTAATAGGATGTTTGTATCATCTTTGTTTACTAGGGTGTCTGAAGTTGATTCAGCTTTGTCTAATGGAGTTTCTGAAGTTTTTTCAGCTTCGTTTAATAGGATGTTTGTATCATCTTTGTTTACTAGGGTGTCTGAAGTTGATTCAACTTTGTTTAATAGGGTGTCTGAAGTTGATTCAGCTTTGTTTAATGGGGTGTCTGAAGTTGATTCCACTTCCTTTCTCGGTTGCTCCACGAGTTTGGTTTCGTCATTGACCTGATTATCTGAATCTACATGAATTAAATTAGAAACGGTTGTTTTTAGTTCTCCATTGTTTACATTGTCGCCCTCAACGCTCGTGGGGTTCAGGCTAGTAGAGTCGTCAGTCTGGCAGGGTTTGGTCCCTGCCTCCTTGACCTGCAGGTCAGTCTGGCAGGGTTTGGTCCCTGCCTCCTTGACCTGCAGGTCAGTCTGGCAGGGTTTGGTCCCTGCCACACGCAGGTCAGTCTGGCAGGATTTGGTCCCTGCCTCCTTGACCTGCAGGTCAGTCTGGCAGGATTTGGTCCCTGCCTCCTTGACCTGCAGGTCAGTCTGGCAGGGTTTGGTCCCTGCCACACGCAGGTCAGTCTGGCAGGATTTGGTCCCTGCCTCCTTGACCTGCAGGTAGACATCTATAGCCAGCTGTGGTATTCCCTGGCTCACACTTATGTACTGCTCGGACTGCAGCAGTTCATACGTCACTTCCTGTTGAACCATACCCTCTGAAGCAGAGAAATTTAACGGAATTTCTTGAATAGGTGAGGCATCGCCTTGAGAAAAAGTAATCGTCTTTTCCCACAAAATAGATGTCTTAGATCCATTATGTATCACTCCATATATTTTAAATGCTAACGGCCATTTTGGTGATGTGCAGCTCTGTGTTTCAGACACGTCTACGTAAACTTTCAGCTTGCCCTTTAGGTCAAACCAAGAGCCAAAACGAAGAGAAACCGGCCAGTGTTTTGGCTTGATGTAGTCGCTATACTGGCAAGTAGTTGACGGCAAGTTAGTTAACTCCCACGTGGACTTGAAAGTTGTCCACTCTTGTCCACAGCCCCTGCAACACTCTGGGACAGACTTGACCAGCAGACAGTTTTCTTGGTTTGTATCAGGTATTTCAATAACAGTTTCACACTTGCCTACATCGGTTAAATTTAGTTCAGAAAGTGATAGCCATTTGCCCAGTTTAATTTTATTTTGTATTTTGGCGTGTTTCCTGTCGTTTTTCTTTGCATCCGTCTGTTCTTTGCTTGCCACTGTGTACTGATGAACTACATCTATCATGAGCTGTTTAATATCTTTTTCTAGCTCATGCTTCAGGTCAAACGTCGTGTTTTCTATCAACTTCTTTAAAATCGTCTGCTGGGAAACTAATTCTGATTTAAGAGTTACGTTCTCTTGTTTTATGACTGCTAGCTGTGCCCTGATTTTCTCCAGTTCTTGCTTGATCTGGCCATAACCTGGGACTATGACGGTGTCCAGGGCCTCGCGGTTCTGATTGAGTAGGTCAGTTCTTAGACTGGTCAGTTGCTGCTGGAGGCTTTGTGCCACCGTCTGCAGCTCGCGAATCTGTTGTGTGTTGGTGGCCAGGGACGAGCCGAAATCTGCCGGATGTTGCCTGGTTGGATCTGACACTTGTTTTGCCTGCTTGGATGAAAAGAAAAAGAAAACAGCTGAACAACGTATCTAATCCTGTATGTTAGATTTGAGGTATGCTGTGCGGTTCTGTGTACCTAAGGCTTATTACTTCTAACACAAACTAACTATCCCATCAGTTTTATTTTTTACCTGAGGTCTCACGGCTTGAGTGGTCTCAGAAAAACACGATTTGGAGTCAGGTATTTGGTTCCGCTCTCTTAAGGCCATCTCCTTTATGGCCATTTCCTTCTCCCAGATGGCCTTGAACTCGTCCCTGGAGAACCCGAGTGTCTCAGCCTCACAGAGTAGTCTCAGAAACTCCATTCTCGCTGTCTGGTCAGACTGTGCTCCAGACCTTCTCTCTTTTAGTTAGCTCAATCTGCTCAACTAAACAAAACACAAACATAAGTTACACAAGACAACCTATCACTTGAACACAAATGTAAGACTCTGATTGAAGGTTGATAGTGACTCTATGATAACATCATTTGTGTTTAGACAGTTATGTCATGAGACATATTTCGTTTGACATTTGTGTAATGACACGGAGAGCTCATGTTAAAACAAAAACTCTCATTATGTATTATGTAACCATCTAACACCAGAAACACAGAAGTTGACCATTCCCTTCTAGGTTTGCTTACCTCAAACTATCCGAATCCTTGAAAGGAAGATAAAATCACCTTTGATCTACCACAGCAACAAAACACCAACAAGCAGATCATATAGCCAACATTATTTTAGCTATGCCAAACAAAGCCATGTACTGTTGTACTAGAACACTATGTTTATCTCGTGTCACGTGGTATTGTTTACTTGCGTCCTAAATGGGGAAGGGGCGGGGAGCTTTAACATACAAATCCCGGATATAACCCGACCGACACACACATACAATCGTATCAAATAGCAAACACGAAACGACACACATACAATCGTATCAAATAGCTAACAAGGTCACACGTCACACTCACGGCTTTCTATACATTTAAAACACGGATTATTTAGCAATCGATAAGCACATGTACACGTTGTTGGTATCTAAAGAATGCTACAAACATAGCTTATATAATAAATACTTTTATTTTTCCGGTATGACAATATATTATTATCATATCGAAGACTTTTTTTTTGCCTGTATCTGGGTTAGGGCTACGGTAGGCGTAAGGCCTATGTGTAATTTTAGCACTAGGATTAGGGCTATGGTTAGTGTAAGGGTTAGGGCTATAGTTAGTTCTAACTAGGGTTAGGGCTATGGTTAGTTCTAACTAGGGTTAGGGCTATGGTTAGTTCTAACTAGGGTTAGGGCTATGGTTAGTTCTAACTAGGGTTAGGGCTATGGTTAGTGTAAAGGTTAGGGCTATGGTTAGTACTAACTAGGGTTAGTGCTATAGTTAGTACTAACTAGGGTTAGGGCTCTGGTTAGTTCTAACTAGGGTTAGGGCTATAGTTAGTACTAGGGTTAGGGCTATGATTAGTACTAGTATTATGGTAACAAGAACAACACTAAGTTGATACTAGCCTATCGGTGAACACAAAAGCACAATTCTAATAGTCTTACCGTAAATGAAACAAAAGAAACACTACTACGGCAACTTACGTATCAGTGAATTGGCTCTAGATTTAAAAACTGGCATACGGCCGAGATTTGTGGCGTGTGGCTGCGTCAACCAGCACTGTCGATGGCTGTGGTGCAGTGGTGTGTGACCCTGTCGCTTTTCTAGGAACATGGGTTTCAAACATCGACGGGGTTAGAGCAAGCGGAAGGGGAATAAAGCTGTAAAACTAGAACAGAATTGAAAAAGTTGTACTCATAAAACGTAACAAAACTAGAAACAGATTACTCTTATCTTTCGATTAATTCGAACGAAATTGACGTTTCACTGTTACTGGAGAGAGGGTTGTTTCAGTGTTATCGAAGAGGGTTGTGTTTTGGCGTTACCGAAGAGGGTGATGTTTCACTATTACTGAAGAGGGTTGTGTTTCACTCTTACTGAATAGGGTGGTGTTTCACTATTACTGAAGAGGGTGGTATTTCACTATTACTGAAGATTGTGGTGTTTCACTATTACCGAAGAGGGTGGTGTTTCACTATTACTAAAGAGTGTGGTATTTCACTATTACCGAAGAGGGTGGTGTTACTATGCTACTGAATAGTGTTTCAGTATAATTTTAAATGACTGGTTAAAATGTAAACACGTAACTCGAGCAGCATTCATAATATAACCCCCCCCCCCCCACCCAGGTTATACCTTAGGTACCCATTGAAGCTGACAGGACTGGGTGCACATAAGCTACACCGACTTGTCATGTGACCACCGCATATCCACATGCATTTGACTAGTATTATAATTATAATTTTACTGAATGCTACACCCCCCCCCCCCCCCTCTCGCCCAAACTTCACACAAAAACTACCTAAAAATGACGCATCACTTCAGTGTTTCACTCCCCCCCCCCCCGTCACGCAACCAAAATGGCGCTATTTTTCCCTTTAAAGGAGCTCTTTCTTTAATTTTCTTTCTACTGTATTAATGAATTAAATCAAGCTGCTCTGAGATAAGATACAACGTTTTATTTGCATTACAGTTTGCAAAAAAAAAAATTAATAAAAAAAAATTATATCGTCTTAAATTGTAAACGGCTGCTGAGATTCATTCTAAAAAAAATCTTAGAAAAACAAAAAATGGGATCATTAGCTGATGGCCCCTAATCGGCCCCTAACCTTTTGTTTTGTTTACACTGGACGTCAAAACGCTTTTTATTTATTGGCATCTGAGCTAAGAAGCTTTTTTTGGCTCATAATATTGATTTCTTAGCAGTAAAAGTAAAGTTCCTTTTTCAAACCTGACAGTTTATAGGGCAAGTGAAGTAGAGTTCACTTGTTTCTGTGACCTCGGCGTATGAAGAGATAGTGTGGTCAGCACTATGCCCAGCCGCCTTTACTTTCCCTAACGTCAGTTAGGTACCCATCAGAGTTGGTTGGACTCAGGGACGGTCTACTGACTTGAACCCGGATTCGAACTCGAGCTTTATTTGAAATATATTACTGCTAAGAATATTATTAATATATTTCAAATAGCTCTCCGTTTAAAATTGAAATATTGAAATGTGCGCGTACTCCAAACAAAAGCACCTAATCGAACGTTAGCATCTTTACCATACGTAGACAGTAGACGAACAGACAATGTTTAATACAGGGACCAGTACAATGTCAGAGTCAGACAAAAATGTTTGTTTAGTCTCTTTTAAGTAGATTTAGTTGCTTTATTGTAGATTCTGTTTCAATTTTGGGATATTAGCTGTAAATAACTGTCCTATCTTAAGCAGCCAAGTTGACTCAATACTGAAGTAAAAAAATAACATAACACAAAACATTAAGATCATTCACAATCTTGTTGTTTTTAAACTTGAATCAATGACTGCAAAATGTACGTTACGCTTTCAAAACAAACTCTGGAAACCAGATCTTCTTGAGCATGTAACACCTGGATAATTCGTCCTTAAACGTCAGGTGTATCCGAAACATTCGAAAGCCAAGAAAATAAAGGGATTTACCAATTATAAATCAGAGTGAATGCATTAATCCATACTTTAAGGAGAATAAATGTATTAATTTCTTAATTAAATAATTGGTAACTAACGCTAAGCAAAGTTTTAAATGGTATTTTACCCTCAATGCAAAAAAATAAAAAATAAAACTTCTCTTCAGGGCTATTTTTAGCCTTTATCTGCTTAAAGTTAAATCTTGAGGGCTGTTTTATTTGGTGACTTATGGTGAATCTATTTGGTGACCTTTGGTGAATATATTTGGTGACCTTTGGTGAATCTATTTGGTGACCTTTGGTGAATCTATCTGGTGACTGCCAGTGAATCTATTTGGTGACCTTTGGTGAATCTATTTGGTGACTGCTAATGAATCTATTTGGTGACTGTTGTTGAATCAATTTGTCTGACATCAAGAGACCACTTGAGATGAAAGCAGCCATTGAAAACATAACCCATCTCCTGCAGCTGCTGGTACGTGATCTTGTAGTAATTTTGTTTGCTGGTCGTCAAGACTAGAACAGGTTCGATGGTGGTAGGGGACTCTCCTGGGAAGTCGCGTCTAGCGTTCAAGACACTCCAGAGCCTTGAGTACCCGCGGGAGTTGCTGTTGAGGATGTAGCCGCAGCTGTTGATGGTGTGCTGTGTGGGTGGAGCCGCTCTATCCCAGGGCAGGAGAGTGATTTCTACAGTGATGTAGCCGCTGCTGGTAAAGCTAACACGGAGGATGATGTCGCAGTATAGCTGTGTGCAGTAGAGTGGTGATGAGAAGTAGTCGCCCTTTGTGGCGTGCAGGTGACTCACGTTTGGAATTTTGACCAGCATGTCTGGAATCAGGAGTAGCTCAGTGGTAGGGTTAGAAGATGTGTTGGTGGTACATGATGTGTTGGTGCTGGGTGTGTTGGTGCTACGTGTGTTGGTATTTGGAGTGTTGGTACTGGGTGTGTTGGTGCTACGTGTGTTGGTATTGGGTGTGTTGGTGCTGGGTGTGTTGGTGCTAGGTGTGTTGGTGCTGGGTGTGTTGGTGCTGGATGTGTTGGTGCTGGGTGTGTTGGTGCTGGGTGTGTTGGTGCTGGGTGTGTTGGTGCTACGTGTGTTGGTATTTGGAGTGTTGGTATTTGGAGTGTTGGTATTTGGTGTGTTGGTACTTGATGTAATGTTGGTACTGGGTGTAATGGTGGCCTTGAAAGTTGCCCACTCTGGTCCACAGCCCCTGCAACACTCTGGGACAGACTTGACCAGCAGACAATTTTCTTGGGTTATGAAAGCCGGATCATTTTTCAACACGACTGTTTCATCACTATCCGAACCAATCAACTTAAGCTCTGAGACGGATGACGATTTTCCCAGTTTCATTTCCTCTTGTATGTTTTCTGGTCTCTTGTCATTTCCTCGCGAATCCGTCAGTTCTCTGCTTGCTACTGTGTACTGATGAACAACATCTGTCATGAGCCGTTTAATATCTTTTTCTAGCTCATGCTTCAGGTCAAACGCCATGTTTTCTATCAACTTCTTTAAAATCGTCTGCTGGGAAACCAATTCTGATTTAAGAGTTACGTTCTTTTGTTTTATGGCTGCTAGCTGTGCCCTGATTTTCTCCAGTTCTTGCTTGATCTGGCCATAACCTGGGACTATGACGGTGTCCAGGGCCTCGCGGTTCTGATTGAGTAGGTCAGTTCTCAGACTGGTCAGTTGCTGCTGGAGGCTTTGTGCCACCGTCTGCAGCTTGCGAATCTGTTGTGTGTTGGTGGCCAGGGACGAGCAGAAATCTGCTGGCTGTTGCCTGGTTGGATCTGATTCTTGTATGCTCATCTGGTAAGATAGGGGGCGAAAAGTCACATCTTGTCAAATGTAACAATGCAGTATGGTATAGTGCGACTCAGCTAAAGTTAATTACTTCTGGCATAAAACAGTGTGTATTTACCTGTGGCCTAGCCGGATGAGTTGGATCAGGAAATCGCTGGGCTTGTTGGCTCCCTTCTTTTCTGGATAACTCGGTGAGGGTCTTCGCTTTCATGGCCATCTCTTTAATGGCCATTTCTTTTTCCCAGATGGCCCTGAACTCGCTCGTGGAGAACCCGAGTGTCTTGGCCTCACGTAGCAGGTCCAAAAATTCCATTCCTCCAGGTGCTATTTCAGGCTTGCATCTGTCAGTCTTCTTAGTTTATATAACTGCCCAGATCTTATACACACGAAACAGAAACACGTCATTAAAATAAAAGTTAAGTTTGCTGGAATTTTAGTGGGCAAGAAAACGACCACAACAATCTTTGATGGATAGTTTAGCTAAACCCAGCCTTCACGAAATAAAAAAAATGTAATTCCATTGCCTTTATTCTTATTGCTATCTACATTTCTTCAATTTGATGATTAAAAATATAATACAATTTTACTACTATTGCCACTGTACCTACTATAGTTACCGGTATATCAATCACCTGTGGAATATTTAATAACAAACACCAGTTTAGATCTACCAGGACCGGCAACTCTTTGTTTACATGGCTTATAGACAGTACTGAACAGAAAATCTGGCCTAATTACACCTAGTTGTAAACATCCATGTTTATCTCGGGTCACGTGGCTTTGTTTACTTGTGTTCTAATTGTGGCCTTAAAATAAAACTCCGTGTGAAACAGTTATTTGTCTTATGTCACATAACATCCTAGAGCACACAATCGATATTAACAAGGTCAAGCGATACACGAACTTGTTACATATACAATTTGGAGATTATCAAGCTGTCAATAAAAAGTTGCTGATAAGCGAAAATGAATGTTAATAACCATCGTTTATGAATATATTATTTAAAAAAAAATGATCCCCATTTTTACCGTTTACAAAACAAACTACAGTATACATTTCTCAAGTAACTCACCGTGTAAGTGTGAAGTTGGTGTAGATTAGTCTTGTTGTTGCTGTCGCACAACGTGGCGTGTGTACGCGTCACACAACACACGTAACACGTGATCTAGCGTTGTGTGACCTTATCGCTTGACCTAGCGTTGTGTGACCTTATCGCTTTCATTTCTAAGAACCCAACTTTCGGTAGACCTGTGCACTTATAACATGGTTGTTGTTTTATTTATAATCGCTAGAAAGCTTCAATTTTGAAAATGTGAAAAGCTCAGGAATTTTGAAATCAGTGCAAACAAGGACAGTTTACAAGATCATAGAGTACATGGGGGGGGGGGGGGGCTATCGAATGACGCTGGAATTAGTATGTTCAGCAATACATTTCTCCCATTGTGTATTGATGAACAACATCTGTCATGAGCTGTTTAATATCTTTTTCTAGCTCATGCTTCAGGTCAAACGCCATGTTTTCTATCAACTTCTTTATAGCCGTCTGCTAGGAAACCAATTCTGATTTAAGAGTTGCGTTCTCTTGTTTTATGGCTGCTAGCTGTGTCCTGATTTTCTCCAGTTCTTGCTTGATCTGGCCATAACCTGGGACTATGACGGTGTCTAGGGCCTCGCGGTTCTGATTGAGTAGGTCAGTTCTCAGACTGGTCAGTTGCTGCTGGAGGCTTTGGGCCAAATTTGAATTTCTCGATCTAAAAATGAAAGTGGTGTCAATTTGAAAATCTAGAATAGTCTATCTCTAACACGATGTTGTAAACAGTGGTCAATCTGCATGGGTCAGTTGTTAAACCTGACACCAGTCAAGTTACTGTCCATGTGATCAACGCGATACAAGTGTCCTTGATTTTTGTAGTCTGTCTGCCAAGCCTTGCGCCGCATAGACCCTACCATCAGGGCTTTAGTTTAAAGTAGCATCCCACGACTTTATATGGACATTCTTGGAATATCATAATAGAGCATCATTCTGTTTACATATCGTTATATGGACATTCCCAGAAGATCATAGTAGTGTATCATTCTGCTTACAGATCGTTATATGGACATTCTTGGAACATCATAATAGAGTATCATACTGTTACAGATCGTTTGTTTGGAATGTATCGTGAGGAATCGATAAGATGTAGGCGTGTTCTATTGATCAATGAATAGGTGTGTTCACATGTTAGTTTCGTTGGATGATTGTGTTGCACTATTTAGTCTTAAGATTATGCACCATCTAGTCTCATGATTGTGCATCATTTAGTCTCATGATTGTGCAACATCTAGTCTCATGATTGTGCATCATTTAGTTTCATGATTGTGCATCATTTAGTCTCATGATTGTGCACCATCTAGTCTCATGATTGTGCATCATTTAGTCTCATGATTGTGCATCATTTAGTCTCATGATTGTGCACCATTTAGTCTCATGATTCGGCACCATTTAGACTCACGATTGTGCACCGTTTAGTCTTATGATTGTGCACCATTTAGTCTCATGATTGTGCACCATTTGATAATCTGGCAGTGTTACAAATATTTTTTACCAGCCAACAGGTCGCGGTATGACAGCGAGGAATGCAATTCAATTCGCGTGTTCAACTTTAAAATAATGGATCAACTGAACACTGTCAAGTCATTTACTAAGATCGTCGTTAAACCTGAAATTTGAGTGAGGGCCTAAAAAATATCAGCCCTATGTATCGGTTTGCGTCAGTTATTGCTAGATATCAAATGTTAGATTATCGCTTGATTGGCACTCGAGTTATTGAAATGTGAACGATTTGGGTTCAACGATTCTTGGAAAAAAGTTTTTGGGGGGTCCTGATTCAAGCGCCATTGGTTGTGCAGTTTAAAGACCTTGAGTCCACGATGATCACCTTAACCTTGCTTGTTTAGTCATTGAATGTACTAGCCAGTCTTATTCCTAGTGTAGGGCGCTCTTTGAAACGAGTGTCGGCGCCATGAAGCTCATCGGGAAGCTCCGCATAATTCATACTACAGCCATTAATGGTGTGAATACATACACGTCAGGCACACATACAGAGAAAAACATACATTAATTTACAATATAGACTTAGTAAATGTCTACTGATCATGATTTTTATTGACAATGATATTGAATAATAGCATATACATATTTTCTTTTGTGACACGGTGACCCGTGGCACACGGTGACCTGTGTATGGACACACGGTGACCTGTGTCACACGATGACCTGTGTCACACGGTGACCTGTGTCACACGATGACCTGTGTCTGGACACACGGTGACCTGTGTCACACGGTGACCTGTGTCACACGGTGACCTGTGTATGGACACACGGTGACCTGTGTAAGGACACACGGTGACCTGTGTCTTGGTACTTGATGGCTTGGCGTTCGTGGTTTAACGCCTACCTTTTGTGTTTTTAACACACCTGTATTATATGCATTTAGATTACGTACACTATAGGATAGTTATATTACTAAAAAGATTATCGTATTTAAACAAAATGCAAATGTATATATATATATATATATATATATATATATATATATATATATATATATATATATATATATATATATATATATATATATATATATATATATATATATATATATATATAACGATAAGCCATATAACATTTGTATTTGACTCTCGATTCTATGGCATTTGACCAGCCTGTCTCTCAGAATGGTTTGACGGCTTGGACATTCCACAGAAATCTGAGAGCGCCCGTGTGCACGTAACTTGCAAGCTTTGAGAATGTGATGTTGGCGGTGTCGTACCTGAGTGTCTTCAGGTAGACGCCTGCCTCCAAAGCCAGCTCCGAGCCCGGCTCTGGGAGCGACACAAACTCCGAGTCGAGTTTCCACACCTGCGAGTGGGCGCCCGGGCTCAAGTTGTAGATCCTACCGACGCCCGTGAAGGAGATCTTGGAGGGGGTTCTGGCCTCGTTAGCTGAGACAAGAACCTTAACTCTAAGATACTCTTCCCTGTCGAACATGGCCTGCACACGCACACGACAAGGCGTGTTGCTTAAAGTATAGAATGGAGAGTAGAATTTTTTGCCGGAAGTAAGAATTTTTCTGGTGTAAGGGATGTTGAAGTCTGCCCACGTGTCCTTGGACATGACCTTGACTTCCTCCACCTCGTCAGAATCATCTTCAGTTTCTGTTCCACTTCTGCTTGAAGTGGATGATTCCTCCCAAGTGAGTTCTAAAGCATTGGCTTTTCTTTTGCGACGATAGAGCTCCTTTAATATACTAGAACTGCCTGCTTTGCTAACGGTTTTTAGCTTAGGTCTTAAAGCTTTCTCCTTTTTGTCTGCGATAACTTTAAAACCAGACTCGAATTTTTCCGTCAGATATTTTTGTCTGTTGACGATCTCAGTGATACGTGAGTCCTGGAGTCTCACTTCCGCCCTCAGCGACTTCACTTCACGTTTCACTTTCGTTAGTTCGTCCTCCACCTCCCGAACACGTGACCTGCAAGAATCGTCTGACCTCGCCTCATCGTAGTCTAGAGGTGCTCGGTGTTCCCGGTCAGGTTTCTGCAATGTCAAGGCTGCTCTCAACTTCCGGGTCGTTGTCTCTATGTCTCTGAGCCGGTGAGCTGAGGGGGGCGTGTCCCCCATGTCGTCATCACTGTGGCCGTACGATGTAGATTTTATTGACAGCCTCACCTGCGGTGATAGAACAAGTTGTCATACATTGCTTCTACAATAAAAGCCGTGTCAAATGGCATGTACAGTACAAATATAACAACCTTGGTTATGAAATGAATACCAAGACTGAAGCATTTCAAGATTCAAACTGGGGGTAATACAGTAAATCCTCAAACATAAAAATCAATTGTGTTGAAAATAGGCAAACGTATATCTTCAGGTTAAAGACTAGGACCAGGTAAACAGGTGTGTCACTTACCTCCTGCTTTGTTTCTCGTCTTGCTAATTTCCTTCTGGAACTCATATCCTGTCCTTGTGGGTGAGACTTGCTTCCCTTGTGGGTGAGACTTGCTTCCCTTGTGGGTGAGACTTGCTTCCCTTGTGGGTGAGACTTGCTTTCCTTGTGGGTGAGACTTGCTTCCCTTGTGGGTGAGACTTGCTTCCCTTGTGGGTGAGACTTGCTTCCCTTGTGGGTGAGACTTGCTTTCCTTGTGGGTGAGACTTGCTTCCCTTGTGGGTGAGACTTGCTTCCCTTGTGGGTGAGACTTGCTTCCCTTGTGGGTGAGACTTGCTTCCCTTGTGGGTGAGACTTGCTTCCCTTGAGGGTGAGACTTGCTTCCCTTGTGGGTGAGACTTGCTTCCCTTGTGGGTGAGACTTGCTTCCCTTGTGGGTGAGACTTGCTTCCCTTGAGGGTGAGACTTGCTTTCCTTGTGGGTGAGACTTGCTTTCCTTGTGGGTGAGACTTGCTTTCCTTGTGGGTGAGACTTGCTTCCCTTGTGGGTGAGACTTGTTTCCTTTGTGGGTGAGACTTGCTTCCCTTTACCGTAGGTTGCTTCCCTTCTTACCTCAATGGGTGAGCAACTCTGTAGACAATATGTAAACTCTTGTTATGGTTTACTTGCCATAAAGTGTGTCCTGATATTAATAATCGTGTTTCGGTTTGCGACAGATAGGTTTTATCAGTGCTGGAGATGATGTAAGCAGACGATAAAAGCCAATTAACATTAGTTCTGGGTAGAACGTTTACAATCGCGACACTTTCACTTTCTGAGCGTATGCTACAGAATCCTGCACATATATTTGACTGTGTTAGTTTCTCACCCTCTACATGTAACCCTCGACACATACCATCCCATCTAGATAAATACCATAACTTTTTAGCTTACTCGAGTTATCATCTCTGTTTTTTAACTGTTTGAAAGAAGGTTGGAGGTCAGAGGTCACAGGCCGCTACGTCACTTATTTCTACTTTCTGTTTGAAAGAAGATTGGAGGTCACAGGCCACTACGTCACTTATTTTTACTTTCTGTTTGAAAGAAGGTTGAAGGTCAGAGGTCACAGGCCACTACGTCACTTATTTTTACTTTCTGTTTGAAAGAAGGTTGGAGGTCAGAGGTCACAGGCTACTACATGTCACTTATTTTTACTTTCTGTTTTAATGAAGGTTGGAGGTCACAGGTCACCCGATTGTTATCACACTAACACCTAATGTTGCTTTCTGTTTCAGAGAAGGCTGGAGGTCACAGGTCACCACACTAACACCTAATGTTACTTTCTGTTACAGAGAAGGTCATAGGTCACAGGTCACCACACTAACACCTAATGTTACTTTCTGTTACAGAGAAGGCTGGAGGAGGTGAGAGCTCTCCAACAGAAGATCATCATGAAAGAGGAGGCAAGGAAGGCCAAGGAGGCTGAGGCCAAGAGGAAGGCTGAGGTAAGGACTGTGGTGTGCTTATCACGTGGTAGGGTATGTGGTGTGCTTATCACGTGGTAGGGTATGTGGTGTGCTTATCACGTGGTAGGGTATGTGGTGTGCTTATCACGTGGTAGGGTATGTGGTGTGCTTATCACGTGGTAGGGTATGTGGTGTGCTTATCACGTGGTAGGGTATGTGGTGTGCTTATCACGTGGTAGGGTATGTGGTGTGCTTATCACGTGGTAGGGTATGTGGTGTGCTTATCACGTGGTAGGGTATGTGGTGTGCTTATCACGTGGTAGGGTATGTGGTGTGCTTATCACGTGGTAGGGTATGTGGTGTGCTTATCACGTGGTAGGGAATGTGGTGTGCTTATCACGTGGTAGGGTATGTGGTGTGCTTATCACGTGGTAGGGAATGTGGTGTGCTTATCACGTGGTAGGGTATGTGGTGTGCTTATCACGTGGTAGGGTATGTGGTGTGCTTATCACGTGGTAGGGTATGTGGTGTGCTTATCACGTGGTAGGGTATGTGGTGTGCTTATCACGTGGTAGGGTATGTGGTGTGCTTATCACGTGGTAGGGTATGTGGTGTGCTTATCACGTGGTAGGGAATGTGGTGTGCTTATCACGTGGTAGGGTATGTGGTGTGCTTATCACGTGGTAGGGTATGTGGTCTGCTTATCACGTGGTAGGGTATGTGGTGTGCTTATCACGTGGTAGGGAATGTGGTGTGCTTATCACGTGGTAGGGTATGTGGTGTGCTTATCACGTGGTAGGGTATGTGGTGTGCTTATCACGTGGTAGGGTATGTGGTGTGCTTATCACGTGGTAGGGTATGTGGTGTGCTTATCACGTGGTAGGGAATGTGGTGTGCTTATCACGTGGTAGGGTATGTGGTGTGCTTATCACGTGGTAGGGTATGTGGTGTGCTTATCACGTGGTAGGGTATGTGGTGTGCTTATCACGTGGTAGGGTATGTGGTGTGCTTATCACGTGGTAGGGTATGTGGTGTGCTTATCACGTGGTAGGGAATGTGGTGTGCTTATCACGTGGTAGGGAATGTGGTGTGCTTATCACGTGGTAGGGTATGTGGTGTGCTTATCACGTGGTAGGGTATGTGGTGTGCTTATCACGTGGTAGGGAATGTGGTGTGCTTATCACGTGGTAGGGTATGTGGTGCAGTTAGAAGTTGTTGGGTATGTGGTGCATCTAGAAGTGGTAGTGTATATGGTGCAGCTAGAAGTGGTACTGCGAGAGGTGCAGCTAGAAGTGGTACTGCGAGAGGTGCAGCTAGAAGTGGTACTGCGAGAGGTGCAGCTAGAAGTGGTACTGCAAGAGGTGCAGCTAGAAGTGGTTGGGTATGTGGTGCATCTAGAAGTGGTAGTGTATATGGTGCAGCTAGAAGTGGTACTGCGAGAGGTGCAGCTAGAAGTGGTACTGCGAGAGGTGCAGCTAGAAGTGGTACTGCAAGAGGTGCAGCTAGAACCATGGAGAGATCAGACCTGGATAGGGGTTCCATGACAAATGGTCTCAGGACAAAAGATCCCAGAGAAAATTTCTGAGGACAAAATTCATCATGGACAAAATATCTAGGACTGCAAGAGGAGAGATTGAGTGTTGGACATGTCTATTACAAAAGTAGGGATGGGTAAATGGATTGGTGAGACTAACACCAAATGTCTCACCTAAAACGTTTGCTCAAAGTTGAAAGTCATTTTTGTTGAGATTCTAAGTATATAATACAATTCATTTTATGATGGTCATATGGGGACCAGAGAGGTTCTGTGATTTCTGTATCTGTGATACAATTGTGATATCTATAGATCCTATATTCTGTTGTGATATCTATCATCATCATCGTGCCCAAGACACATGGGGTAGATGAAGTAGAGTTCTTCTGTTTTAGATTACCTCGGCATAGTGTGGCCATCACTATAGGGCTGGTAAGTAGGTCACCAACCACTTCTACGGCTCAATAAAACCTGCATGAGCCATAGAACTGTTTATTTACCTACTTACCAGCCCTATACCCAGTCACCTTTTTTTCACTAACGTGAGTTAAGTACCCATCACATCTGGTTGGATTCAGAGACGTTCTACAAAATTGAACCTGGATTCAAACTTGAGACTTTAGGGTTAGCAGTCTAGCTCTTTACCACTGATATCTATAGAACCCCACGTAGTCTGTAAACTTTTGTTTACACATTTATACTGTTTTCCTACAAAGTCTGTATACTGTTGTTTACATGCATGTCTATTGTTGTTTACATGCATGTATGCTATTGTTTACATAGTCTGTATACTGTTACTTACATGCATATCTACTGTTGCTTACATGCATGTCTACTGTTGTGAATGAAACAGGAACTGAAGGAGAGAATGGAGGCTCTGAGAGAGGAGGAGGCAGAGCTGGAGAGAGCTGAGCAGGATGCCAGGGAGCAGATAGAGGCTGTGAGGAAGGCACAGAGAGCAGAGAGGGAGGCTCGCAGGAAGGCTGAGCTGGAACGTAAGAAAGAGGAGGCCATTAAAAAAAGGTGTGTGGGTGTGTAGAGGTGTGCATGTGGGTGTGTAGGGGTGTGCGTGTGTGTGTGTTCAATCATTTACTTTATACATCATTGTATTTTTAGTTTTATTCAAACTGTTTCAATGATGAAAATTTAGCCAATGCTACAATGTCCCTGATAAGGATTTTAAAGTCTGTGATAAATTGATATTGTATTTTTATACTAATTTATCTAGATCAATATTTGTAACTTACCATGTGTAATACTATATGCACTAACATTAGTCTATAATCTAAGTAATGTTATAATACACTTAGTTACAAAAAGTGAATGTTTATCTATCTCTATCTAGGGAGAAAGAAAAAGCCATGGCCGAGGCTGCTAGGCTGAAGGAGAAGGAGATGCTGGACAGTATAGCTGATGCTGAGATGGCCAGGAGGCTTAGGGAGGAAGATGAGGCCAGGAGGGAGGAGGAGGAAATGGTTGCACAAGAGAGGTTTGAGGTAAGGAGGAAATGGTTGCACAAGAGAGGTTTGAGGTAAGGAGGAAATGGCCGCATAGGTTTGAGGTAAGGGGTCATCCATAAATGACGTCACACTCGTAGGGGGGAGGGGGGGGGTCCGTAATTTTGTGACGATGTGTGATGAGGGGGAGGGGGGGGGGGTCAGATGTTGCGACGTCACATTTTTGCATTATAAAAAAGCAATGTAAAAAAACAAATTTTAGACGTTATTTCGCGTTTTAGATAACTTTTAATAAATTATAATAGTTTAGTCAAGATTTTGGAAAAATATTTAAAATATCGATGTTTTAAAAAAATTCAACTGCAATTTTGAGGGGGGTTGTAGGTTGAGGTGTGACGTCATTTTAGGGGGGGGGGGGTCTGGCTTTTTGTGACGACGTGTGACGGAGGGGAGGGGGGAGGTAAAAATCGTCAAAAAAAGCGTGACGTCATTTATGGATGACCCCTAAGGAGGAAATGGCCGCATAGGTTTGAGGTAAGGAGGAAATGGCCGCACATGAGAGGTTTGAGGTAAGGAGGAAATGGCCGCACAAGAGAGGTTTGAGGTAAGGAGGAAATGGTTGCACAAGAGAGGTTTGAGGTAAGGAGGAAATGGCCGCACATGAGAGGTTTGAGGTAAGGAGGAAATGGCCGCACAAGAGAGGTTTGAGGTAAGGAGAAAGGGCTGCAAGTTATTGCAGAGCAGGATAGGATTAGATAATGTAATCAGTGGTAACAGTTTGTTTATGTTTATTTACAGGCTGCACTGCTGGAAGCACAAAAAGCTGCAGAAGAAGAAGAAGAGAAATTAAGAGAACTGGAGAGACAAGTAACTCAATATTTTTACAAACTTTAACTTGATCTCATAATGATGAACTGAGTATGGTTAGTTGTAAGAGTCCTCTTTAGAGGATCGATTGGCAGATGAAGTAGAGTTTATGTTTCTCGACCTCGGCACATGAAGGGATAATTTGGTCAGCACTATGCCCAGGCACCTTTACTTCCCCTAACCAATTAGGTACCAATTAGAGCTGGGTGGACTCAGAGATTTTCCACTGACTTGATCTCGAACTCGAGACTTTTGGGTTAGCAGTCTAGTGCTCTACAGCTAGGCCAAGAAACCAACAGGTTAGCTGTAAAAAGTTTAAAAATACATCTAAGCCTTTTTTAAACCAGTGATTGCATGGGTGTTCCATGAATGAGTTTATCTAAACACGTCTGTCCTCATTTAAACAAGTGATTACATAGGTGTTCTGTGAATGAGTTTATCTAAACACATAGGTGTTCTGTGAATGAGTTTATCTAAACACATAGGTGTTCTGTGAATGAGTTTATCTAAACACATAGGTGTTCTGTGAATGAGTTTATCTAAACACATAGGTGTTCTGTGAATGAGTTTATCTAAACACATAGGTGTTCTGTGAATGAGTTTATCTAAACACATAGGTGTTCTGTGAATGAGTTTATCTAAACACATAGGTGTTCTGTGAATGAGTTTATCTAAACACATAGGTGTTCTGTGAATGAGTTTATCTAAACACATAGGTGTTCTGTGAATGAGTTTATCTAAACACATAGGTGTTCTGTGAATGAGTTTATCTAAACACATAGGTGTTCTGTGAATGAGTTTATCTAAACACATAGGTGTTCTGTGAATGAGTTTATCTAAACACATAGGTGTTCTGTGAATGAGTTTATCTAAACACATCTGTCCTCGACTACCCAGGCTGAAGAGGAAGCTTTCCAACGACTTCTGGATGAGAAGGAGGAAGCTGAGACACGACGCAGAGAGCTTGAAAACCAGGCCAGACAGATGCGGGAGGATGAGGAGAGAATACAGTAAGGGAATTATTTTTTTTATCTATACACAGATGTTACCTAATATGTATTAGTTGACAGCTTTTACTTTGAATGCTGGTTGATTGGATGGTTAGTTGACCTAAACATTAATTTTTAAACCTGTTGGTTGGGTAACGTAAACATACATTTTTAAACCTGTTGTTTGGTTAACCTAAACCTAAATTTTTGCACCTGTTGGTTGGGTAACCTAAGCCTACATTTTTGCACATGTTGGTTGGGTAATCTAAACATAAATATTTTAACCTGTTGGTTGGGTGACTTAAACCTAAATTTTTAAACCTGTTGGGTAACCTAAACCTGTTGGTTGGGTAATCTAAACATAAATATTTAAACCTGTTGGGTAACCTAAACCTAAATTTGTGCACCTGTTGGTTGGGTAACTAAAACCTAAATTTTTAAACCTGTTGGGTAACCTAAACCTGTTGGTTGGGTAATCTAAACATAAATATTTAAACCTGTTGGGTAACCTAAACCTAAATTTGTGCACCTGTTGTTTGGTTAACCTAAACCTAAATTTGTGCACCTGTTGTTTGGATAAACTAAACCTAAATTTGTGCACCTGTTGTTTGGATAAACTAAACCTAAATTTGTGCACCTGTTGTTTGGATAAACTAAACCTAAATTTGTGCACCTGTTGTTTGGTTAACCAAAACCTAAATTTGTGCACCTGTTGTTTGGATAAACTAAACCTAAATTTGTGCACCTGTTGTTTGGTTAACCAAAACCTAAATTTGTGCACCTGTTGTTTGGATAAACTAAACCTAAATTTGTGCACCTGGTGTTTGGATAAACTAAACCTAAATTTGTGCACCTGTTGTTTGGATAAACTAAACCTAAATTTGTGCACCTGTTGTTTGGATAAACTAAACCTAAATTTGTGCACCTGTTGTTTGGATAAACTAAACCTAAATTTGTGCACCTGTTGTTTGGATAAACTAAACCTAAATTTGTGCACCTGTTGTTTGGATAAACTAAACCTAAATTTGTGCACCTGTTGTTTGGATAAACTAAACCTAAATTTGTGCACCTGTTGTTTGGATAAACTAAACCTAAATTTGTGCACCTGTTGTTTGGATAAACTAAACCTAAATTTTTGCACCTGTTTTTCAGACGTGAGATGCTGGAGGAGGAGAAGAGACTGGAGACTGAGAGAAGGAGGCACGAGGAGGCAGAAGAGGCAAGGAGAGAACAGGAGCGAGCAAGACTTAGAGAGGTAATAAAACTTGGACTGGATGGGATTGTAACTAGTCAATATTTCACTTCCACCCCATCTTACTAATGTCTCTTATTATTTTCTTTCTTAAAAACTTCTACAGTTTAAAAAAAAACTTTTTTTTACAAATATCTACAATAATTTTGTTTTCAAATATTTGTACTTAAAAAATTGCTTTCAGCTCCAGAGGCTGGAGGAGGAGGCTAGAGAGAAGATGAGGGGGGAGCTGGAGAAGAGACGGGCCTGGGCCCTACAGCGAAGGGAGCACAACCTGCGGACCAGGTCCTACATGGACTCCATCAAACAGGCGCAGGGAATCACAGAACCCTGGACCTTTTCTTACTTCGTTAGGTGGCCTAAAGAAACATACATGAGGTACGGTCTTACAGCTTAACACTAATTTTTAGCTCATATGTTGTTTAGCGAATTAATTAGCTTGTATATTGAATACAGTAAAATACCAGCTTTGATTGAAACTAATTCTATTTAAAAGTGGTATCAGCTGAACTATGTGACAGTTTGAATTATTCCAACAGATCTATGGGCACAGACCCCAAGAAGATAAAAGGACCACAGAAACCTCGAGCTAAAATTATCATTGAAGAACCTGGTGGTCCTGGCACGCAGCCTGTAGATCTTGTCTCTGTCAACTATTAGACTTGTCTCTGTCAATTATTAGATGTCATTGTCTCTGTCAATTTGACAACTTTGTTTGTCAACATTTTGACATTTTATGTTAAATTCCCGTTTTTAAGATGGTCCAGTCTGACCCCAACTAATAGGGGATATGTCTGGTCAGCTCATTCGTCAACATATGTCGTGTGCATCATAGGGATTTGAACTCTAGGCCTTCTGAGTTAGTAGTGCATACTGCTACCACCTGACCAGACCACCCTAAACATTTTTAATCTCAATACAAACATGACAGCAAATGAAGGAGATACTGTGGTACCATGTTGATGTACTGTGGTACCATGTTGATGTGTTGTGGTACCATGTTGATGTAATGTTGTACCATGATGATGTACTGTGGTACCATGTTGATGTACTGTGGTTGATGTACTGTGGTACCATGTTGATGTGTTGTGGTACCATGTTGATGTGTTGTGGTACTATGTTGATGTGGTGTGGTACCATGTTATTCTTTAATTTGCCTTTCACCTAAGTGTTATCCTTCTACTCTTGTTTTAGTAGTCCATCCATTATACACTTAGTTTATTAATTATAAGAAAAAGCTTTTCTGTGATATAGCAACTTGTACTGACAGTTTTTGTACAAGTTTTTTTTTAATGTAATGAAATTTTATGTTATGTAATGATTTAAAGAAACTTTTATAAGCAAATTTGTTTTTCAAGGAAGTGTCCTAGGTTTAATTCATACTTTGTTATAGTTACATGTTTTTGCTATAACTCTCAACATTACTTAATAGATCAATCACCATAGGCCAACAAGTTCAAGTCTATGATACATTTTTACTTATAGGCCTACATATTTTTACCTATTCATGGCTACCTGTATAATTTATAGTTAGACCTTTTGTGATATAACCTTTTTATATGCTTGTAAATAAAGTTGCAGTTGATGATTACACGCTGTAATATTTAACTTTTGCTCACTGATATGAACACTGGCTAAATGACTTCATGTTTGACTGGGGTTTCCACTGACCCCACAAATTCACCAAAACAGTGATTAAATGTTACATTAATTTTACTTGCCAACTGAGACCTTACTTAAAACATGCAGACCAGAAAAATAATTTTTGTTTACTTTATAAAAACAGGCACTGAAAATTTTTTCTTCTTTAAACCATACAATAAATAAATCTGTTAAAGTTTTGTTCTGAGTTTTTAGTTCACTGCCATTGTTAAATCACCTCTTAAAACTTAAAAATTTATTGCTAGAAAATAATTGTTAATCATAACTTTAAAATAAAAATACAAGTGTATACAGAAACTTTATGTTTTTCTATCTACATGTTATTGTACAGGAGTATTTATAAAGTAAAATAGTAATTAGATTTAGCAATGATCTATTGGGAATAGTTTAAAAATTCATGAACAAATCTTAATAAAAGAAAAATGTTACTGAAGTGGATAAATTTGCCATCCTCACTAAAAATACAATTACAAGTCGTTACAATTTAAAGTGTGAATTTATTGACTATGTTGTTTATGTGCCACAGTAAACATTATGTACCAAATGAGATCCCTAATTCTCAACATATTGGTATTTTTTTATAACATACAGGTCAACTAAGCAGCATGCAAGTAAAATAGTTAATCTGATAGCATACAGGTGAGCTTCACAGCATACAAATTATAAACAGGCAGCCAGTGTTTCTTCCACACTTTTTAACACGTTTTTCTTAACTCAGCTTCGCGTTTGTGGATTTGTTTGTTTGTTGTTAAAATTGACATCGAAAATTAGCCCACTTCTGATTGCTCTACAGATCTGAAATTTGGCATACAGGCTACTTTCGCCTAACAATTTCAGATGCAATCATAAAAACTAGCAATTAGAGACCGTAATTAGCTTAATTTAATTACGCCCCAAGGACCATAAAATTGAGGACATGATTTCTAAAGATACCGACAAGACTGGAGGCTTATTCACACAGTTACTTCGGCCCCAATCGATGTGAGCGCGCTGGCCGTGATCGTATAGTGGTTAGTACTTCGCGTTGTGGCCGCGACAACCCAGGTTCGAATCCTGGTCGCTCAAGATTTTTTAGTCCGTGTATTTATAAACACTTAGTCAAGTCATACTTAATCAAGTCATTAGATTAAGTAGAAAATAAACTATATAAAAAACTTTTTTAAAAACCATGTTTTTCATGTGTAGCAACGGACTAAAAAGGAGAAAATAAAATACTTAAAAAAAACTTTTTAAAAAAACCACGTGGGTCGGGCAGATGGGTCGGGAAATTTGATGGTGAACGTACCCACGTTTTTTGTCAGTCATCACAAGAACCTGCACAGCTCGAGGAAGCACAAAAGAAAAATTTATTTTCTACTTTTTAGTCCACAAGAAAAACGTGGTTTTTTAAAAAGTTTTTTTTAAGTATTTTATTTCTCCCTGGAGGGGGGGGGGGGGGGCGGTCAACATTTTCCGGGGTAGGGACACTAGTAAAAGTATATGTTACTATATAAATTCCATCTCGTCCCCCCCCCCCCGAAGAGATACCTGGAAGAAACTGCTGGCAGCATACAGGTTTACATGACAGCTTACATGTTCGCACAATACGATAGCATACGGGCTCACACGATAGCATACTCTATAATTATAAACATTCTTTCAAACTACCTCAAAGCCATAGTCAATAAACTTTTCACATATGAACTACATCTTTAATAGACCTTTTACGTCAGTAGATCTTGGACTGTGGCTTTTGGTGGATGTGTTAGCGAGAGGATTTATCTGATTTACTGTGGCTTTTGGTCGATGTGTTAGCGAGAAAGGATTTATCTAATGGACTGTAGCTTTTGGTCGATGTGTTAGCGAGAGGATTTATCTGATTTACTGTGGCTTTTGGTCGATGTGTTAGCGAGAGAGGATTTATCTAATGGACTGTAGCTTTTGGTCGATGTGTTAGCGAGAGGATTTATCTGATTTACTGTGGCTTTTGGTCGATGTGTTAGCGAGAGGATTTATCTAATGGACTGTAGCTTTTGGTCGATGTGTTAGCGAGAGGATTTATCTGATTTACTGTGGCTTTTGGTCGATGTGTTAGCGAGAAAGGATTTATCTAATGGACTGTAGCTTTTGGTCGATGTGTTAGCGAGAGGATTTATCTGATTTACTGTGGCTTTTGGTCGATGTGTTAGCGAGAAAGGATTTATCTAATGGACTGTAGCTTTTGGTCGATGTGTTAGCGAGAGGATTTATCTGATTTACTGTGGCTTTTGGTCGATGTGTTAGCGAGAGAGGATTTATCTAATGGACTGTAGCTTTTGGTCGATGTGTTAGCGAGAGGATTTATCTGATTTACTGTAGCTTTTGGTCGATGTGTTAGCGAGAGGATTTATCTGATTTACTGTGGCTTTTGGTCGATGTGTTAGCGAGAGGATTTATCTAATGGACTGTAGCTTTTGGTCGATGTGTTAGCGAGAGGATTTATCTGATTTACTGTGGCTTTTGGTCGATGTGTTAGCGAGAAAGGATTTATCTAATGGACTGTAGCTTTTGGTCGATGTGTTAGCGAGAGGATTTATCTGATTTACTGTGGCTTTTGGTCGATGTGTTAGCGAGAAAGGATTTATCTAATGGACTGTAGCTTTTGGTCGATGTGTTAGCGAGAGGATTTATCTGATTTACTGTGGCTTTTGGTCGATGTGTTAGCGAGAAAGGATTTATCTAATGGACTGTAGCTTTTGGTCGATGTGTTTACGTCAAATGACTTATCCCTCATCTCAACTACTTTTTCATGTTTATTTTTCATTTTAGTCTTATTTTGTCCTATCTTTGTTTTACCAGTGTCAACTTCTTTTGAATCTCTTTCGGAAGTAGGAACGTCTAGTGGTACAGCTTCAGATATTCCTACACAAACTTTGACCAAAATGTACCACTCTCTTCTAAACAAGAGAAAGGAGTCTGCGATCAGCGAAGAGAACGTGATATCTTTTGGAATTCTCTTCTCGTCGTATGTGACGAGAACTAACGGGATTTCCCATGACATCATTTGGTGGCACGTAGTGTGACGTAATATGATGTCGCCCCGGATGTTGAGAGTTGACGGGATATTTTTAACCTGCAGACGTATGTCCAGACAAAGCGGAAGTCTCCGGGCTGTTGTGGAGGTTTTGTCGGACAAGAAGACGTGGAACTTGAGTTTCTCGGTTTTATCTAGCCACCCCCCAAAACGTAGGCACACTTGCAATATGGGGTGATCGAAAGCCTCACTGTACTGATACACAGGTGAGGGGAGGTTATTCAGCTCCCACTCATAAAAAAACAATTGTGGCTGTGCAGGTTTTATTGTTTGGTCAGGAGCTGTCTCGCAAGGGACGTCAGCAAGGTCGGGTAATTTCTTCAGTGGAGTTACAGTTCCTGGTACTGATGAATCAATGCCTTCTGCAAATTGAAATAGTTGTTTTTAGTTTCCAAAACCACTCAACTGGTCACAGAATCGTATTACTTTTAAATATTACATCACGTTAATACAAATGTTTTTAAAAAAAATTCTATTTGTTAGCTATAGGCATACCATTAGTTGTCACTGAGTTTTGTGGGGCTGTAACCGCTTCTGAGAAAAATACCCACATAATAATAATAAATATATATATATATATATATATATATATATATATATATATATATATATATATATATATATATATATATGTATATATATATATATATATATATACTAGCTGCATCCCGTGCTCCGCCACGGTAAATCTTTTTTAAATGTACCAACTTTGGAACAGAACAAAACAAACAAAAACATAACACAAACACAAACAAAACACAACCACAACACAACACAACCACAACACAACAAAACAAACAAAAACATAACACAAACACAAACACAAACAAAACACAATCACAACACAACACAACCACAACCACAACCACAACCACAAACACAACCACAACACAACCACAACACAACCACAACATAACAACAACACAACCACAACACAACACAACCACAACACAACCACAACACAACACAACCACAACACAACCACAATACAACCACAACACAACACAACCACAACACAACCACAACACAACCACAACCACAACACAACCACAACACAACCACAACACAACACAACCACAACACAACCACAACAATAGAATCACCAACGAACAACACGCTTTTCTTAGGCATCCGCGCCCAGAGAGTGCCTTTCCAGCTTTCTCTATACTATAATTCTAAATTTTCACCATCTGTTAACACCGAAAAACAAAAACAAAAAAATAGTGATTTTGAGAGATCATAGTCTAATTAGAAAATAATGTAAATAATCTTAACATTTTTTCTATTTTACTTAACATATAATAATCAATGTGGAAGTAATAAAAAAAATTAACTTAATTTATTGAGAGTGAGTTAAATATTTAAAAAAAAAAACATTTTCCCATACGTCCGCGCTCAGAGAGAGCCTTTCCATTATTCTCAAAAAGTCTAATTTCACCATCTGTTTTCATAACACCGAAAAACAAAAGCAAAAAGATTTTAGAGAAATCATAGACTAATTAGAAAAAAATAATAAATAATATAAATAATCTTAACATTTTTCTCTTTTAATTATGAACATTAACATATACTAATCAATGCGGTAGTAATACAAAAAAGATTAACTTAAATTATTGTTGAGTTAAATATATTTTCAAATTACCTCCCTTGAAAAAAATTACCACAAAAAAAAGTTGAATTAATTAGTTTTTTCGACCTACTTTTATGGAAATGTATCCACTTTTTCTATGAATATTAACGAAAATGATATTTGACATTAATCTTTTTAATACGTTTTAGCAGTTTGCGTGTATTTAATATTTTCTTGACGTTATGCGAAAGAGTAAAAACCGTGGCAATTATAAAATAGCTCTATGCCGCTATATAAACAAACCCTACTCTAATACTTATAATAAGACACTGCGGTGCACTGAAAAGCACAGCATGGTGCGAATGTTTACTTTTATGGCTCCAAAATCTATAGCGATGACGGAAGGACTGACACACTACCTAGCCGCTTATATTATAGATATATATAGATATATATATATATATATATATATATATATATATATATATATATGCGTGGCTGTGTACCTGAATATAAGTAATATAACCTAATATGTTATTTCCATCTTGCCTATTAATAATCTTATAACCTAGAAATACTCCACCATTGAGGTTCTGATGCCCCTCTAGCTAACCTGAGGGCATAGGCATACATGCCATTGGCGTGAATTAG